AAAGTTCCTTAGCCTTTTAAAGCTTTTATATGAAGGCTCAAAATAATTATTGATCGACTAAAGACATGCAGCCAATTGATTAGTCGACTAAATGTTCATTCATACTACACTCTCTCTGCTCAACTTGGAGCTCATGGACCTACTCTGTACGGCCATCGTAGACTTCACATAGCACCCATCATGCATCACGCTGTCTCTCACGGGGAGCGCCATGTTTGTTGTGGATAGGTTTTCTACACGCGCTGGTATTGAAAGCGATTTGCTTATAGCGCCCCCTATCGTTGCTTCCAAGACATACTTTTTGACATTTGAAACAGATGGGAGTGCAAATGAGCTAGAGCTGCAACTAACGATTATTTTGTAATCGATTAATCTATCGATTATTTTTACGATTAATCGAGTAATCGCTTGGCTGTGAATTGTGTAGAAAAAAATTATTTTTTCATCACAAAAAGCTAAAGTGGCAACACTCGAACTTAAAGTAAATGTTTGTAACAGGCTCTTTGTGCTAATTCTGCTATCTGATTGCTTTTATAACTTCATGAATATCTGTCTGTCTCATCCAAAGTCGGTTTTAATCAAAAATACTACATTTTCATGTCATTTTTGCTCTGTTTGAGTCCGTGTGAACCAGAAAACGATTAATCGATTACTAAAATAGTTGTCGACTATTTCAATAATCGATTAGTCGTCGATTAATCGATTAGTTGTTTCAGCCCTAAAATGAACTGATGCTGGTAGCACTGGAAACGCACGACCTAATTACCCACATAACTGAAAGAATGGGGACGTGGCAAAGGCTCTCAAAACCCAAAAGTTTAGCTTAGAATCACAAGAAAGAATTGTTGGAAATTATTATTAAAGATAGTTGGAGATAATGTCTTGAATTTCAAATTAACACCAAATACTTCCACTAATTTGCTCAATGGCCTCTGATTTTTGCGGTATTCTCATAAAAAAATCAGACAAACACTTTTACATTTTTTGCTCCACTAAGAAACCTTCTACAGATTTATCAACCAAGCAACTAAAGCGCAACAACACTAAAACGTTAAATGCATTATTTCCCACCATAACTTCCTGGTTCATTGTGGCTCTGCGGCCGCGGTTATACAGCATGTGAAGCTGATGTGAGTTTCCAGAGCCGTGCGTCTCTTGTTTTGTCAACACAGATTATGAAAAAGCAGAGTTTGGAGAGCCCAGCGGGGGAGTCCAGACCCTCCCACTCTGTCAACTCCACAACTCCACCGCCCTCTTTTCATCTCCTCATTTCAGTTACCTTGAACAAAACACAGCCTGAAATAGACCTGCTATTCTCGGCACAGAGGCGATACTATGACCCTGAGTGTGAAGAGAGACTGGACCAGGCCTGATTTAGACCGGGTTTGATCGTATTTTAGTCCTGGTTTAGTCCTTGTTCAATTATGATTTTGATTGTGGTGTGGTTCTTTTGTCAGACTAAGCTCAGTCCTAATTAAAGCTGTATTTTTTTGCACTTTTTTATGGTCTTACAAATCCAGCATAAAACAAAAATTGACAAGCTGTCATAAGAATATATATCTTAAATTGAAGTGCTCTTTGTGATTATACATTGCCATGGATGAGTATATAGCTAATTGAATGGCTCTTGCTTTTTCATGTAGAAATAAGTATGATTTTTTGTATCCTGGTGATATTTTATGTACTTCTGATTTGTGTAAAATAATACAAGAAGACACACAAACAAATGGAAACTTAACTTTGATATCCACCACACGTCAATCATTCTGCAAGAGGGGCCAGCTTGAAAAATGTTTTGTTTAGTGTTGAATTTCTATTATAAGGCCATGGGCTTTACCCCCCGCATTCTTCAGACCTTACACATTTTTCTCTGCACATTTGTAAATATTAGACAAGTATAAATGCGTCTTCTTTGCCCCATTTAAGTGCACCTGTGCTTTCCAATGCAGGCCTTTCTGGTACATTCACATTTACAGTATTTCTCCCACACTTGTGACTCAGAGAGCGGTGGGAGGTCTGACAGCTCACACTTTATGTTCCGACTAAAGGCTTCCATGATACTCATTGCAACCGTTCTATTATTTAATGAACTGTTGAAACTTTATCCAAGTTCATTAAAGACTCCAGCCCCAGTGGCCAATTTCATATTCTTCAAGTTAAAAACATTTAAAATAGCTTGGATCAACAATTTCCTGATTTAACCAAATTTGTCTTAAATATGTACCATTTCCTCATATAAACAAGAACAGTTATTATTGCAATCTCATCTCATAGAGTCTTTTCTAGTTGTCACCAAAGATAATGAAGGCTTTTCACTCCTGACTCACTTGTAAACAACTCATCATCTGGAAAAGATTTTCTTTGGTGACGTTGGGTCCCACTAACACGAGGAGAACACAACATATAGTCGTATGATTTGGCAGTTAACCCTAACCCTTTTTTTGTTTTGTGAATTTGTTAAGTAATTTTGTGAATAAATCAGACCAGAACATACTCTCTCTTATTCACTGAAACAGAAGAATACATGGAAACTATAGAGCATAAGTGTTTTTGTGGTTGTAAAGTTAGATAATCCAGCTTTAAAAATGAAATATTTTGAGGCCGTCCAACGTAGTATTATTTATATATTACTGTATGTATACTTTTTTGTATTTCAAATGGTACATTTTGGGGAACCACTACCCGCCGTCTTCACTTCAACAGAAAACATTAAGTGTATTATGACTTTTAAGAAAGAGCCCTGATTGGCTGAGCACGTATTTATTATAATTACACACACATAGGTTTACTTTGTTTTTAAATTGCATATTTTTAAACTGGTATTCTACTTTTTTTTATTACATTTTTATTGTTTTTACTTTGTACACAATGTTTTTCTTATTCTATTTTTAAACATGTAAAGCTGGCAAACTTGTATTTTTAAATGTGTTACTTTTATCTCCGTGCAGCACTTTGGAAACTTGTTTTATAAAATGTGCTAACAAACAAAGTGGACTGGATTGGGTTGGAAAGAGCTTGACAAATATAATTGTTTGAAAAATCCAATCTAAAGGTATGATAAAGGCCAATAATATCAAACCGTTCAGTTCATGGCGACTTATATAAAGGCCAGACAGATCCTAATTTGACTTTGTGAACTTCACTCAGGTTGAATTTCCGAAACTTCCTCTGGATTTAAACGCACCATAACACGGTAGAGCATGGGGCCGCCCTCCTGCTGTGTGCCCGGGTCACAGGCAGGGTCCTGACCTGAGCGAGTGCCGTTTGCCCGCTGGAGAATGAGCCTTATTTCTCCCTCCTCAAATGACCCGCGAACGATGTGGGTCAACTGTTGGTGTGAAGAGGCGCCTTCTGCAGGTGACCCATCTCAAGATCAGGGGTGAGTGCGCGGTCAGGACGTTTGACTCCCCCCTCCAAAGTTCATGCTTGTTTTTCCCAAAGAGCTCTTGTGTTCACATGTAGGGGCAGGCGATATTGAATTGAATTAAACCCTGTTATGTTTGGATTCATGATCGTTACATCATCATTGATTTCAAAGTATGGAATGAAATGTAAAAGAGAAGACATAACTGATTTTATAAATACAATTACATTTTTCAGACTCTTAGCAGTCAATTTTTAATTTTTTGTGATATACTTTTCCATCTTCCAAAATGACTATTGTGATATGCAGCCCACCTCTGTTCTATTCAAAGTATTAATCGAGTGGTTCTCAAACTTAACTTAAGGCACGCTCACGTAGGTTTTACAAACAAACTAGGCCAAGTGGCCCGGATCGTCGCCACAGGGGTGTGAAGCCCGACCCACAGTCACAAGAGCTTCTTCTTGCAACTGTGCCAGAGCAACTGTGCTGTAGTACAACGCTCGGTCCAGCTGGTGGCGCTAATACTAACTCCAGCAACGACCTTGTTGTCCAAGTTAAGTTTCCATTTCTCCTGTGTACTTTCTGCTACTGTAGCTAACAGCTCAGTACGGATCGCGTTGTTTATGAAAAGACACATCTCACACTTGTCCACATCGCTCTGATGCAAAGTGCAGCAGTTCAGTGGGTAACATGTGTGTGTGTGTGTGTGTGTGTGTGTGTGTGTGTGTGCGCGCCGCGCACACGGGAGCGGGCCTGAGTGGCATACCAGCAGAGCGACCGGAGCCAGTGTGGTGCTATTATTGCAATAGCACCACACTGTGAGAGCGAGGGTCAGGACAGAGGGAGTTATTCCCTGTAGGAAACACTTTTCTTTGGGCCTGCAGCGACACACTCCCCTGTGCCCCTCTTATATGAAAGGTTTAACACAAGCGGAGAATGCGAAAGTGCAGGAGAGACGTGTGTGAAAATGCGCGTCACAACGACGTAATGTGACGCACAATATCAAGTTACCGCAACGCTGACCCCCCATCAGCTTACAAGCTGTGGCCCCCTCTCAACGTGCCAAGCCACTGCGCGTCACTAGCCCAACTCGATCAATCCGAGTGGCTAGCCACTTAAGGCTTAGACGTGCATGTGCCGCGCCTTCACCTATAATGACTGGCCTTGAGCATCTCACACCAAGTTTTGTTCTTCCAATTACCTGTTTAAAAAGGTCTTTCTTTAGCCAAATTGGGGTTAAGTCTTAAATACATACACTATTTTTTAAAGTACTTCCCAATTTGGATTTACAACTCAATAACTTCAAAAGAAGAAGAGAGTCTGTTTTTTAGCTGAAAAGAGCTTAAATACCACCGGCGGGGCTAACCACTCTGATCAAATATAACAATCATAGCTGCTTGTCTAAGTGTGTGTGCGTGCACCTGCTAACACCACAGTGAGACAATAGTGGTTCTATTGTGCAGGCTGTCAAAGTGCCTATAGACCATGCTCAATTAATACATCAGGTGATTGTGTGTGTGATCGAAAGGCAGTGGTCGGAGTGCGTTTTCATCAGTGTGCCCCAGGGCAGCTGTGGCTATAGTAGTTTTTCACCAGCACATGTACAGAGAGAATGATTTTAAACAGCTGAACATACTCAGAAGTCACCAGGCCCCTTCTGCCTGGTGACCTCCTCTCCCTCTGCCCTGGCCTCCTCTCCCTCTGCCTGGTGACCCCCTCTCCCTCTGCCCTGGCCTCCTCTCTGCCTGCCTCTCTCCTCTGCCTGGTGACTCCCTCTGCCCTGGCTCTCCCTGGTGACTCCCTCTCCCTGCCTGGCCTCTCCCTCTGCCTGGTGACTCCCTCTCTCCTGCCCTGGCCTCCTCTCCCTCTGCCTGGTGACTCCCTCTCCTCTGCCTGGCTCCTCTCCCTCTGCCCTGGCCGCCTCTCCCTCTGCCTGGTGACTCCCTCTCTCCTGCCCTGGCTTCCTCTCCCTCTGCCTGGTGACTCCCTCTTTCCTGCCCTGGCTTCCTCTCCCTCTGCCTGGTGACTCCCTCTTTCCTGCCCTGGCCTCCTCTCCCTCTGCCTGGTGACTCCCTCTCTCCTGCCTTGGCCTCCTCTCCCTCTGCCTGGTGACTCCCTCTTTCCTGCCCTGGCCTCCTCTCCCTCTGCCTGATGACTCCCTCTTTCCTGCCCTGGCTTCCTCTCCCTCTGCCTGGTGAGACCCTGCCGGCCCGGTGCCTGTGGCGTGTAATTGACTTTCTCCCTCCCCGCGCCAGGCTGGAGGTGACCCATTTCCCTGGGGCATTCAGCAGCTTCTAATCAGCCATTCTCTGGGGCCGCCTCTTTCACTCTTTCACTCTGCAATTAGAGCAACTGCCCTCAGAGAGCTGTGTGCGCGGGCTGAGGCGCAGGCGGGTGCTGTTATGGTGTCTTAGTAGGACTCAAAGTTGATGTATTGTCAAGTTGACTTTTATAATCGCTTTCGACCATGTCTGATTGTGTCTCCTCTCATTTATGCTCTTGATGGTGTTTCAGACCATACATCAGGCTTGGTGGGGTTTCTGTAAATGTGTGTTTTTGTATATGTTTTTCTTTTTGATAGATGGAACCACCACTAGGGGTGTGGTCTGGGGAATCATTTGTTTATGTTTGTTGTAAATGATGGTTATCTTAGATCACCTATTCTAGAAATGTCAATAGTGGATACACCTGGACACCTCTTTGTCTTCTACCTGTCTTTTACGTCTGTGTTTCACACGGTATAAATCCGTTCAACGCATTTACGTGTCGCTCTGTCATGGAGGCGTTTTAGTGGGTGTTCCTCAAATGCCAACAGAGGTGTCCCTGATTGGCCAATTCGCCTGTCAATCATCAGGCAATGTAGGTCAGGTATCTTGTCTATTTGGTAGAGCAAGTAATACATCATTCAGAAAGTACAGGATGTTTTGTCGATATAGGATAATGTTAGGGGTGTTCTAAAAAACCTGTTGATTTTTTGATATACATTGATTTTTTTGGAATTAGTATTATGGATTTTCTATTTTTATTTTGTCCAGATTTGTTTTTGTTTTTTTGTGGATTTAAAGAATGTTTGTTTTGTTTTATTTTGATTTTACTTTATTAACAATTAATCTTCAATAAATGAAACATAATGCATCGATAGTGTTATATTTTGGTTAAAATGGGGCAGAGCATTAAATAAGTGGCCAAAAGAGTTGAATAATATCATTTATAAAGTAAATTAATGTATTGTGGGATGCCCTGAAAGACACCCAACCCTAGTTGGATTTAAAAAATACTCTTGTTGTTTGTTGTTAGTGTACGAGTCGGTAATGATTCATAATTCTGGTGCTACCAGCTGTAATTACCAGGATTAAGACTCTAACATTGTCCAAACAAAAGAAGAACAGCGCTTGTGAAGGTAAGTGGAACAGGTAAACAAGTCGACGGCAGACAAAGAGCTACAGGCTGGAGGAACTCAGGGGAGGAATAAAAGCAGAAATCTGAAACAAACTCTGGAGGAGGGACAGAGCATCTTCACAGCAGCCCGTCTCGGCATGTTGTGTTTTTAGAAGATGTGCAAGTATTCCCTCTTGGATTCTTAAAAGAGAATACACACACTATTTCCCGCAGTTCAGAGGGTCCGCGAACGCACCATCCTTATTGATTCTCTCACCACCAGTAGGCATCCTCTACTTGTTCGAGCCAAGTATGATTCTGTAAAAAAAAAAGATTAGAAAATTGTCTGTCTAAAGAAGCAATCAGATTTTTAAATAGATTCCCTGCTTTTCCCCGCAGAAGGATTTGTAGATGATAGAGCGAGATGATTAAATAAGAGGCCAGCGCCACTCCCCTGCCGTTGGTCTGATTTTTATGCAGGAGAGGCCCTGCTTTGGTCAGGGGATAACCATGTAATCAATGGGATGAGAACGCCGCTCTGGCTGTGAAGGTTAAGAGGGAGCAGGAGGCTTTGGTCGGGTCGTGCATGTGAAACCTTCCCTCACCTGAGCCCTGCTCTGTGTGTGTGTGTGATACAACATGCTGTTTGGACTGAGTGCAGCTCGGTTTTCATTAGTTATGGGGCAGTTTTGTTGCTGTTGATGATATCCAATAGTTGCTCTGCTGCACTGGTGGATACCAATGTTTTTGCCAAGACAGTATTAAAATGATAATAAAAACTATAGATTAACTAATTTCTTAAGAATGGTCGCCTGGTCTTAAATCAACTATCTCATTATACAAACAATAATATCCTAATTTTCCTCTATTATCGTAAGAAATAATAACAATAACCAGAACATTTCTGGTTATTGTTATTATTTCTTGTTCAATAGTCTTAGTTAATATGGGACACTTTTTGAAAATCGGCTGATACCCATATCAGCAGAAGAAATAATACATTGGCTGCTCTAGTTTTACTGGTGGCAGACAGACATTTATTTGTTTATTTGGACGGCACAGTGTGCATTAATGAAAAGCAGCTGCTGTAAATACACCAGATTGTAGTGATGGGCTAATTTGCATCCAGTGTCCCACAGTCACAAATACACACTGATCCCACTGAACTTTTGTACATTGTTTTCGTACCTGGAGGAAACCTACACAGACACACTCGGCACAGATGGGGTTCCAGGCCTGGGGACTGAAGCCTGGATCTTGATGCTGTGAAGCACTAAGCAGTAACTTATTCAACTCTATGGCATACATGCATTCATCTACAATGGAGATAGCTCTGTGATGTTTTTATATTTTCACCCTTCAGGTGCCAAAGTGAGCTCCTGAATCCAGGACACTTTCTCTTGACTTTTGCTAAAATGTTTCCCTACGTTGATCTTACATCCTTTTGTCTGTTTCACATCAAATCCTAAAGGGTTAATTGAATAACTGAAGAATCACATTTGGTGCCTAATAAAACAATATTCATTAACAGCATTGTGGACATTTCCTGTTATAACGCATTGACGAGTGATAGTGTAAGTGACTGTAATATTTCATCAAGACTTATTGCTGTGTTAGTGCTAAAAATAGACATGTTTATGTTGGCCTGTAATGGACCAAGGATGACGGCTTTTGTTCCTGTTGCTGCAGTATGATTATTACTAAAGAGTTAGTGATTCAGTGTTTGTTTTGCACATCATGTTTTGATGATCATCACTTAAAGAATTGTTATTGCTCTTTTTATTGTCATATACCAACACAAACACCTGATACTTAGTGCCACTGATCAGCGTTTGTTTTGTGTTTGACTTGACTTATGTTACAGCTTTAGGGCATACATAAGATATAGACAGAGGATAGACTATAAACATCAATCGATCAGATGGTTTGGGGAAATTATATTAGCATTGTTACCAGGTTATTTAGTGGTGATTCTACTGGATAAACAACCAGAGTTGGTCCAAATGAGCTGAATGTGCAATAACAATAAAGAGAAAAATGTTATTTCACATCTTTGATAATTTTTATCCGAAAATGATCAAAGATGTGAAAGCTTTCAGGTTTTATCTTAAGTAAAACCCTGCCAATGATACAAGATATTTTATTCCTAATACAACAAAGATAGGATTTTTTTCATTCTTCAAACAACTGTAACAGGCAGGTTTCATTTCAAGGTTGCATTTCAACTCAACTGTTCGGTTCCGCAAGGGACATAGAAATGACAAATACTATAATATTTATTTAACATCCATCCATCTGTTTTCTTACTCTTTATCTGTTGTTGGGAGGGGGACAGCCTGAGCAGAGCTCCTCAGACTTCTCTATCCACACACGCTCAGGCCAGCTGAGAGTCCCTCCAACGTGTCCTGGGTCTTCCCGTGGTCTCCTCCTGGTGGGACATGCTTTGAACACCTCCTCAGGGAGGCATCCAGGAGGCATCCGGAACAGATGACTGAGCAAGTTCAGCTGTCTCTTCTCGACTTGGAGCAGCAGTAGCTATACTCCGAGCTCCTCACCCCATTTATCGGGGAGCACCCAGCCACTCAGCCTTTAAAACATGGAATTATTTATATCACTGTTTATTGATCGTCAGAAACTGTGTGACAATTACAATTCTTTCTTACTGTTAATGTCCTAAATACAAAGTGTGAATATTGTCTAATGCCTGCTTATCGTCGTGGGACACAGGTCATGGTCAGGTCTAACCCCTGTGTGTGAAGGAGGTGCTCCAGAGTTGCACAAATAGAAACATGCTTTTCTCAAAGACAGTGGAGGCGGAGGACTAGACAGTTGTTATTTGCTGCTGCCTGCCAAGAGAATATTATTTGCATGATTTACACATATTTTATTCTAATTTTATCCTGATGCGTACTGTAAGTGTCGGGACGTCAAGAATATTCACTTAATCTGCAATGTTCTTTTTCAGGTCATCACATGCGTGTAAATGCTAAGGTTGCACAATAGTATGCAACTGTTAATCACTATAGGATATACTGTACATATAGCTGCATTTAAGTTGAATCTAGTTTCTGACACATTATTTTTAAATGATAAAAAAACATCTACATTTTGAACATATATATATGTACCAGATGTATGATGTTTCATCATAAATACATGAATGAGTCTTTTAAAAGTTGGTGAACAAATCAGACCTCATGCTGTCTGAATCTTATTCTAAAATATGTAATCTTTTACGTACTTGTAAGAAAGAGTTCTCTTGTAAGAAAGAGTAGCTCTTTTTGACGCTTTGGGCTGAGAGCTGATTGGCTGAGTGAGGGTGGTCCTCTCTTCTGCCTGGAAAAGCTGATCTAAAGATGTGAGGCCACAGATACATGCATGTGAAAACTAGTAAACCTTTTTGAGTGTGAGAAAGTAGTTACAGTAGATAGATCTTTATTTACAAAGTTATACATTGTGGTTTGAAAATTAGGTACCCCAGCTTTAACAGAGACATAAACCGAGTCAAGGATAATTTTATGCTTGTACTTTTGGTTGTGGAGAACAACAGGCCACATTGTGTTATTGATATTGATCAATAACACACCAGTGAACTCACTATCCAAAGCCGAATACTTCGAGGTACTTTTCGAGGACCTGATGCATGTTTATCCAATTCCAAAACGTTCTCATGCAGACTCCTGGCTTTCTGTGTTGCAGGTGCTGTTATGTGTGCACGATGAGCGGGCTGGGGGACAACTCCATGGAGCCTCTGAGCTCAGAGAACCGGAAACGAAAACTGTCCACGTGCGACACGCCGGGACTGGGGTGAGTGTGGAGTGTCATGTGGTGAAACAAAGGAAGGACCCAAAAATGCATGAAAGCCAAAATAATTTGATTTAACACAGGAACCAGAAAGAGGGACAGACAAAGACAAATGGACCAGCAACACATGGGTAATGTTCATATTGACACAGAGAGATACAGGTGAACACACATTAGGGCGGGGCAGTTATTCAACACAGTGCAACAGGACAGGAAGTCAAACACATATACAGACACATATATATATACACAATCTCCTAACTTCATACTTTTAATATATCTGTACTTTTCCACATTCTTACGTCCATCACATGATTAGTGACTGGTACTTTACATACAGTATGACATAAAAACAGCTTTGACATTGTTAGCCACGCTTCCAAGTGAATTAATTCATTGTGGTTAGCCGCACTTCTAAATTCATGTAATATTCTCTGTCAGTATAGGGTTCAGGTGTTGAAAGGCAATGATTTAAATGTCTCAAATAAATACAGTTTATTGCCCGTCAATCATTCAACAAAAAGTACATATGAAAGTTTTTACTTTTAATGCAGTAAGGGATTGACTTTATACTTTATACGAATTTGCCAATGGGACAACACTTTTAATGTTATTTCAAGAACTGTTGCGTTATTTTCTTATTCCAAGGGAGACTCTTCTTATTTCTTTTTAAAACAAGATCTTGTTGCATGTCCCATTGGCAAAGCTTGTTTTAAAGGCACACCGCGGACTTTGTGACCTAAAGAGTTGACACATATGAGTTATTTTATATGAATACTTGGGCCAATATACAGCGCTTGACACTTGCAATGCTCCGAGCGGGGCTGCCCTCTTGAAATACCGCCCATGTAAGTTTCGAGCAGACGGACCGTCTGCCACCAGGTCACGTGACTTGGAAGAAAGACTTGCTTTACGGCTACAGGCGCTGATATACTCATGGAGCTAAGGCTTTTGCTACTCATTTTTCACCTGCTCGACTCCTGGTCATGGCTGAGGCAAGGAAAAATTTTAAACCTTCGGAGGAGGCTAAAAAGAGGAAACGCGAAAGGGATCGTGCTGTAAGCTGCATGTCTGTATGAGCGCTGCTCTTCACCTGGTTCCTGGATGTCATCGACTGCAAAGATGTCCTTCCACGCAGCACGAGCTAGACGCAGAACTCCCTCATCCAGGATATAGAAGTCCATGTGTGGTAGATTACTAATGCAGCGGTCTGGAGGCTGACCACAGCAGAGTCTCTCAATATCTGTAGGCATGTCTCTACAGTTTGAACACACACACCAGTGCATGCTGTCTGAATACACACTCAAAAGACACCGGCTGACTGTTTGTTGACTTTTGCGACAGTGCTGAGTTGCTTGTGGCCACTAGGGGCGCTAAACGTGAAAGTTGCAGGTCTAGCGCCCCTAGTGGCCAAGAGTTACACGGTGTGCCTTTAAGGCAGTCAAAATGTGCTCAAATTGAGATTGAGAAATTTTGCCAAATTTGAGCAATTTTGCAGTGTATACTTCTGCCACCTCTGAGTCTAAAGTCAAGTCACTTCTTCTTACCCCTAACTATGAGAGAAATGATGAGATCTCTTATCATTCATCTGGGTGTATTCAACTAGAGAATACTACTCCTTGAAGAATATGCCCTGAGCTTCTTGGGCCAAATCGACTACGTAAAAAGAAAAGTATGAGTAAACGGCAAGTGCAAAAGCAGATTATGTCCCTCCCAGAACTCCAGATAACTCACTCCATGTGTTTTTTCCTGATCTGCTGTGCTGCATGTATCATAAAACAACTAGTTATAAATGGATTATTAAAACTAAGCAACTAAAGTACGGGGAGGAAATAGGGCACCAGGGCGGATATAGATGGAGGAGGAGTCATCTGTGGGCTGTCCTCAGTGCGAGTGTGGGATTGTGTCCTCATATGAACTCTGAGGGGTTTAAGATTATCCAGTTTCCTCGCAGCGCTGCTCCTCTCACTGCCCGGATGCATCCAACAACTCTTATTGAACATGTTTTTGTATTCCATTCAATTCAATGTATTTGTTTATTGCCCTAAATCACAACAGTAGTTATCTTGGAGGACTTTACAAAGTTGTCAATTTGCAACAGATCAGAGAGTGAAACAGTTCAAACACAGACAATGCAATGATAAAACAAAAACATAGAGCCATTGGTCCATAAGGGGCAGATGACCAATGTCTATAGATGTTAAAAAATGTCCATTAATGTCCTTAAATGTCCTTAGATGTCCTGGATCATCACCACTGTCCTTAGACCCTCATCCATCTGCAAAGAACAACAACAAAAAACAACCCAGAGGGAAAAAGGCAAGGGTGTGCAGCCCTCGAGTCTGGGCCGGGGGACATATTGTGTTGAATATCAAGAAGTATCAAGTTATTATCCCTGTAGAGACATTTGAGCCATCCCTCAATGCCACTAGGGCTTCTGTCAGGAGCTGTGGTCATTGCAGTGGCCCGTCTCCAGCTGTTGATGCTTGGCTCAAACAAGACACCCAGTGCCGGTGGATTTTTACCCGTGGTGCATGTATTGGTGGGGAAACCGGAGCCCCCAGAGGAAACCCACCCAGACACAGGGATGGTCGACTCAAGCTCAAACCCATAAACTTCAGGCTGTGAAACTGGAGCTCAAACCATCATAAATAAACATCACATTACTTAATTACAGCAAGATCAATTTGCAATATTACTTATTTTAATGCATTTCTACCAAAAATGACAATGAAGAGCCAGGCGTATGCTAATAAGTGTCTTGCTGTGTGACCAGGTGTGAGAGGAAGCGCCGGGAGCAGGAGAGTAAGTACATCGAGGAGTTGGCCGAGTTGATCTCTGCAAACCTCAGCGACATCGACAGCTTCAACGTCAAACCAGACAAATGTGCCATCCTCAAGGAGACCGTGAGACAGATCCGGCAGATCAAAGAGCAGGGTGAGAAAGCACTGCTACTTCTGTTACTACTGCCATTATGGCTACTAATGCTACTGCTGCTGCTATTGTTACTTATGCTGCTATTGTTACTGCTGCTGCTGCTACTACTGCTGCTATTGCTACTGTTGCTAGTACTTCTACCACTGCTGTGAATTACTATTGCTACTACTGCTACGACTACAATTACTACTACTGCTACTACTATAACTGCTACTACTACTACTACTACTACTACTACTACTACTAAACTACAATAATGATAGCATGAATATGTCAACAACAACTGAGTAAATTCCTTGGTTCAGACCACAGACCACAGATCATAGAACGTGGACAGACTTTAAGTGCTAGCGTCACTCATTGCGTTTGCCTTTTCTCCTGGCTTCAGTTTGCCATAGGCCAATTCTCTCATAGCAACAACTAGGGCTGGGCGATATGGCTGAAAACTATATCACGATATAAGTCATTCATATCGGTCGATAACGATATATATTGAGTTTTTTTTTTTTTAACCTAAATAAATATATTTGTCGTGTGGGCTAACCAACCTTAGCAGCCTTGTTTACAGTCACGGGGCGATGAGGCTGGGGGAATATGTTCACACTGTGTCCCCCGTTGTTAGTCCTGGTTTAGCTCCTGGTTTAGCTCCTGGTTTAGCTGTTTGAGGGTCTTGTGTCCCCGTGACCGCTCCGTGCGGCTCTCTGTGCCGCACATGCTTCCCGAGGAAAAAGTTAATCTCTTGCTTTCGCCGAATACATAGGGTCTGTCCACTGCCTCTGCCGCCGCACATGTTATTCCGCGCACGTACGTGCATAACCATTGACACGGCATTGAAACACGAGCTATAGATCCATGGACGCTACGCATGCTGCGGTTGTTGGTGTTTTTGCATTTCCCAGAAAGTTTTGCGGTTCCTGCTCGGCTGTTATTGGTCGAGAAGCCTCTGCCTACATCCCCCACAATGCCATGCGCTTATGAGTCGGCTTTACTTCCGGTGTTTTCTTCCTTTTTTTCCTGACGGAGTTAAGTTAAACTATCGAACATTCTATCGACCCCATTCTCTATTGATATCGAACACATGTCTATCGCGATATATATCGTTATCGTTTTATCGCCCAGCCCTAGCAACAACCTAGCAACCAAAGAGCCAAGTAGGAGCTACACTACTGTTGAACCACTCACGCTATTAGCTAGCTGAGGCTGAAGCATAATTTGTAGATGAAAGCTCCAGATTGGTCAGGTGTTTTGGGATTTTTTGTGTGTGTAACATGATGAATTAGAGAATGAGCTGTTTATTTTTCAATGGAAGTAAATAGCAGCCAATGGGTTGTCATTTTATACAGTCCTGTACGTAGTCTGGGGCACAAAGCAGTGTTTTTGTGTTGTCATAAGTTTCAGCTGCTTCTGTCAACTTGACGTCTGAATACAGTAGGATTCGGATCAGACCTGACGTCAGCAACCTCTGTTTATGTCACAACTTAAGCTGCTGAAGTGCAGATAAGCCTACAGGAAGCATATTAAGAAGTGTTTTAAGTTGCGTTACAAAATGAATGCGCAATTTCCGTCACTGTATGACTGCAAGACCGAGCTCACTCCCATCTCTACACTACTTTACATAGTGACTTACCGCTGTTAGTGTGAATGTCAGATAAAGAAGGAGGCAAGTCATGAGAAACGAGATGCAGCGATAGTTCTCTGGGCTAAATTAAGGTTTTTGTTCTGTAATTTGGCTTAAACTGTTCATATTAGAGAGGTAACATTAGCAGTACCTTTTATGAGCACGTATGCAAATGTGTGTGGCCTCTGTGTCTCCTGTAATTGGCTGTTTGCAGGTGATCGCACTGTGCCATCGCTCTGCTGAGGTGCAGAGCTCTCACAGCTGCTCCTCTGTTTTGCACAAGCCATTTTTACACCTCACACCTACAAACTCTGCTCAGAAAGCTGAAAGTGTAATATGATGGATTCTACTAGTTTAGAGACATCTTGGCTCTTTATCACTGGTATAACACTACAGCAGGGCATCTGGGCTCATCCTATTATTGCATACGATACAATATCCCTGCAGATAATTAGTCAATAGTCTGCAGTCTGCAAGATAATAATCATTTATACTAGCATAAAGTAGGAACCCAAAACGAATGCCTTTTTAAGATAAGATAAGAGTTCCTTTATTCGTCCCACAGTGGGGAAATTTCGATGTTGCAGCGCACATACTGTAAACTGGTCCTGCACTGTTAAGGGGAATAAAAAGCCTAATCCAATATCAATCCAACACAACTAAATAATTGCAGTCATTGATAACTATAGTGATTTTGCACGTCCCCAAACTCCACACAATCTGATGTTAGCTGCAGACACTCCCTTTGTGCTTCTTGGAACTTCATTGCATCAAAAATAATTCCAGTGAAACCAAAAAAAATAAGAAACCAGAAAAGAAGTCCACTGCCATCAATTCTCTTTGCAAAAAGGTCACATTTTAAAGGAGAATGAGCAGAACCTGATCTCATCCACAAATTCAAGAATATGATTAAGCAAAAACACTGATTTTGCTTTTTTTTTTTACAACATATAACTACTAAACACAATCTTGCATGTCCTATCCAAAATGTAGTTTTGTAAAATGCATTGTTGGATTTCCAAAATAAAAATGTTGTATCTCAAAACAAATGGGAAAAGAACAAAACTGGTGTAATGTTACTTTCCCCGCTGTAATCATGGCTGCATTAGTTGGGATGTGTTAGATGGGGGAGCTGGTCTCGGTCTTGGCTCGGCTCCTGCACCTCAGCGGGAACAGGACGAGGCTGCTGACAGGTTGCTATAGTTACGCGGCGAAGACAGAAATGACACGGCGTTTAGTCTTTCACCTGCTCCTCTCTTTATCCTACAAGAGCTGTGGAGATGAATATGCTCCATCTTCACAAGAATGTTTCAATTTACTTTATGAATAAAATGTTTGCCCAAGATAAGAGCGCGTTTGCACATACGCTATTATATGGACACATTACACAGATTAAACTAAATCATATATTTCTCTTATACAATATGAGTTACTCTTGATGCCTTTATTTAATCATTGTGTGATTTTCTTTTTTATTCTTCTGAAATTACTTAGAGCCACAAAGTTTGATTTTGTTGTGTCAGTGAGTGCATGGACTGTAGTGACCCTTTTACAGAGAATCACTGGTCGAATTAATAATACATTTGATTTTCCAAGATTAGTCAAGACTCAGAGATTAGTTGCTGATTCAAGTTTTTGTTGATTGTGGCATGGAGTATCAATGGGAGAATGGACAACTCTCCAGATTTAGTTTAAAAAAAATCTGGTCACTATCAGAACTTGAAGCTAAGCAGGTTGGGGCCTGGTTAGTACTTGTAAAACCTGTGTCTTTAAAGTGCAAACTGTTGTTGTGACTTTAGGCAAGACAGGTCACCCTCATCGTCTGGTATGATTCTGGACTCATGCCGTGGATTGTCGGCCTTGCTTCAGTCCACCCCAGGCCAGGGCAGTTGTGGCTACAATAGCTTACTGTGAATGGGTACATGAATAATGCAAAGCTCTTTGGTTGTCATGAAAGGCGCTGTATGAAAGCCAAGCGTCATTATTATTATTATTATTATTATTTATAAGACTGCATTGAATACAAATGGTCAGGAATCTAAATGACAAAGCTCCTCAAAGCATTATGCATATATTCAAGTGTCTGTTCAAGTAGTGTTTCACCACACTCTCGTAGATGAGGACTGTAGACTGTGGTCCTGCACTGTTAAAGGGAAAAACAAGCCTAAACCAATATCAATCCAACACAACTAAATAATTACAGTCATTGATAACTATAGTGATTTTGCACGTCCCCAAACTTCACACAATCTGAAGTTAGCTGCAGAGACTCCCTTTGTGCTTCTTTGAACTTCATTGCATCAAAAATAATTCCAGATATTCAGAGTGAAACCAAAAAAACAAGAAACCAGAAAAGAAGTCCACTGCCATCAATTCTCTTTGCAAAAAGATCACACTCAAATCAAAACGTGATTGTGATTATAATAGTGTTGTTTTGTCATTATTTAAAAGGAGAATGAGCAGAACCTGATCCCATCCACTAATTCAAGAATGTGCTGAAGCAAAAACACTGATTTAGCTTTTTTGGTCCTACAAAAACTAACTTCCACCAAATGAATATAGACATGAATACAGCTGCTACCTGCTCCTCACACACAAAGCATTTCCTCTTGTCTCCTTACCTGATCTAAAAACTGCTCTGAAGTCAAACTGAGCAAGCTTGAGAAGTGCTGCCCCCTGCTGGTGAGGTTTAAGTAGTGACTGACCAGCTTTAAAACCACATGGGTATTTGCATAATGCTGATTGCTCTATTTATCCTCCTACAGCAAACTCAGGACCAGTCATCTTTGTCTTTGTGTGTGCTGCCTATGAAATGCTCTTGTATGTGTTATTTTTAATGTTATGTTGTTGTGTTTTTAGGCAAAGCTACCTCCAGTGATGACGACGTGCAGAAGTCGGACGTCTCATCCACAGGTCAAGGCGTCATTGACAAAGATCACCTGGGGCCGCTCCTGTTGCAGGTTTGTCCTGGGCTCCTTCTGATCCAGGAAGTGTGAATGTGCTTTTTTTAGTCTCTCAATACATATATGTTTATTGTGTGTAATGTGTGTGCATGATTTTTATGTATGCTTTTGTTTATATTTTTGACTATTTTATTACTTGTTATTGCACCATATGCCAAAGAAAATTCCTCGTTTGTGACATCTTGTTACTTGTAATGGCAATAAATGTAATTCTGTTTCGGAATATTGCAAATGCCTCATCTATTTTAGAGATAGATATTATTTGCCTTTAGGTTTTATAAGAATATACAAACATGTGTAATACTATATTAGGCACTAGCATAGAATAATAACACATGATTTCTAGTAAAGCCATAACACCTCCAAGGTAACAAGCAGCTGAAAAGTTTTATAAGTGTATGTCTATATTGCACACTTTACTACCATGATATAAAAACTGTAGGATTATGTCATATATTTGGTAAGCTAGAGAAATAGTTTCTAAAGAGTTTTTTTTTCTGTATTTTCGAAGATCTTATTGTAAAACCCTCTTGTTCCTGTTGTTTCAGGCCCTGGACGGCTTCTTGTTTGTGGTGAATCGTGAGGGAAATATCGTGTTTGTGTCGGACAATGTGACGCAGTACCTGCAGTACAGACAGGAGGAGCTCATCAACACCAGCGTCTACACCATCCTGCATGAAGAAGACAGAGAGGAGCTGCACAAGAACTTGCCCAAGACCAACCGTGAGTGCCACACATTCACCCGACAGTGAGACGAATACTGCTGAGGCATCTGCAGACACTCCTCAAAGTTTTTATGTTTATATTTGTATGTTCTGAATAGTGCTGACAGGGAAACACCAACAAACACAGGGCCTTCATTCACACCTGCACCTGTCCCAGAACATTCCCAGCTCTGCTCCCGTCACATAACCTGCAACTTTACTGGCATTTTGATCTCTGCTTCACCGCCTTTTAAAATGTATGGATTTCCCAGTACTAGTACCCAGAACTATAACTTCTGTTCCAGAGTAAAAAGTGCAGGGAATCAATTCTGGCTATATTCACATAATGATGATTTATTTCAAACCTCAAGTGTAAACATTTAAACAAGAAATTATAACTTTTTAGTGTTATAAATTATAACTATAGCTGTGAGGGCCCTTGGTGCAGCATTTGATTCACAAAGTCTCTATTTGTTTATTCACTTTACTTCTTAAAGTAGCATATGTAAGATTTTCATGTCAAGTCATTAAATCATTAAATGGCACAAATATGTCAAAAGGCATTAATAAACTCTATTCTAATACTTATTTAACTGATAACAGTAGATCAGCCGAGATATTTTAATTTAATAAATTCATTTTGATGTCCCACACTCCATCGTGTTACCTATCAGAAAGTCTGTGATCTGGGTTGCCAGAACTCACAGCATCGAGCTAATCTATCTATCTATCTATCTATCTATCTCTCTATCTCTCTATCTCTCTATCTCTCTCTCTCTCTCTCTCTCTCTCTCTCTCTCTCTCTCTCTCTCTCTCTCTCTCTCTCTCTCTCTCTCTCTCTCTCTCTCTCTCTCTCACCGGTAAAATAACATGTCAGGCTGCAGTTATCATTCTTAAATCATTAATGACAAAACAAGAAATAAAACGAGGATTTCTATCTTTGTGAAAAAGGTGTTGGTTATAGATGTGTTGTTGACAAATCTCTTGTCTATTCAGATATTTTGGTCCCAGCTGGATTCGTTTGCATATCTGGCCACCTGAGTCATGGAGAGTGGGAGAGGTTGCAGCAGGGCTGGACTGGCCATCGGGCGTACCGGGCAATGCCCGAAGGGCCGATGCCCATGTTTGGGCCGGTCTGTCTGCCTCATACAAAACACATGTTTGTGAAAAGTGTAAATCCGTTGAGAAATGTTCAAGGGACATAGAGCGTGTCCGCGGGGCACCTGCTGTATGTACTCGAACGGGATTCCACCACCTCAGCGGCCGCAGTGTTCCCGCATCCAGCGGCTCTGAGCTGGACGCGGGAACCGCTCACCGGGAGCCACTCACAACACAACACGGCGAGCGCGTAGCCGCAACGTGGTCATGTACCCAAGACCATAAACGCGCACAGGACCATGCGTGTCTTTGCGTAATTTGTGCACCCAATAAATACACCGCTGCAGGAAAAAGTCCGCGTCTCCTCTCTCCTCTCGAAGTGCGACTAAATTAAAGCCCGGGTACCTAAATTTTCTATTGCATTAAAAGTTCATGTTTGAGCCCAAAAGTAAAATGTTGTGAACAAATTAAACAGATTTAGAGCCAGCAAATGGCTGACATTATGCATTTAAGACTTTTTTGACCAATTCTCATCCCTGTAACAAACAATAGTATTGTCTGTGTCCACCTCCCTCACTCTGAGACATGTTTATTACTCTCTTGTAATGTAGACTATTGCACTTTATTTTTTTGTTGAAACTACAGACATCCTGATCCTCTACAGTATACTTCCACATACTGTATAAACCAGGGGTCGGCAACCTTTAGTGCCCCTAAAGTGGCTCCTGGAGCCTTTTCAAAAATGTCTGAAAATTGAGTGTGAGGGCTATATTTTATTCCTAGTTTGAATGTGGTTTCTGTGGTAGGAAAAACATTCCTAACGTATTTCAATGCTGTAAAAATGTGTATAAGTAATATTCAATTTCAACATTTCTGTCAACGTAGTGAGTCATATCCTGTGACGCAGCCCCGCGCCAGGCGGCCGCTGCTGTGAACAAACCGGGGTGTGCGCACGAATCCCAAAGATAAAAAGAGAAAGAGTTGATAATAAGACTGGACTAAGAACAAGACTGAACATTTGCTTTTAGTCAATGAGGAAGGACTGCTTCATGTTTGTGATGTAATAGGAAGTTTTGTTGCAACACGAGGAACAATGAAGCACTAAATACCGTTCACAGGGATTACGTGAAGGATTCTTTCATACAAAATCCGGAGCACCTTTTTCAGACTTCAAAAACCTCCGCAAAGACTGTGAAAGAAAAGGCCATTAAGGACATTCAGCTTCAGCAAACTTCAGCCTGTGACGTGATCGATATGAACAGACAGTGCAGGTGTGTGTGACCTTTGAGCCAAAAAGCAGATTTATTTACTGTATTTCTACAGTTGCATGAAGGCAAAAAAATGGAAGTCAAAGTTAAAGCAGAGTCATCACGTGGTGCGTCATTCTCTCCAGGACACGCTGCAGTGAAAACACACATTTGACAATCATGAATGCTTATTATGTATTTGTAGCCTTTACTTGGTCATTTAGATATTAGGCTAATGTAGCTAATGTAGGTACATTGTGTAACCTTCATATAAACTTTATACAAGGCTGTTATTTTTTTGCGGCTCCAGACAGATGTTTTTAGTTTTTTGGTCAAATATGGCTCTTTGAACCTTTTGAGTTGCCGATCCCTGGTATAAACAAACTGTAAAAAAGTGACAAAAACATGCCTCGGCCGGTATGAAGGAAAAAATGACCGGGCCGTTTTTTTGTCCCAGTCCAGCCCTGGGTTGCAGTTCCACTTTTGGCCAGATATTTACATACTGCTCCTTTAAGTTTGACCTTTATGATACATGAAATAAAAAAGACAAATATAGACCTACTGCAAAAGTCAGTGAACATTGTGCACTCTCCAGAGTAGAAAGTACAGGCTGAGGAGGCTGAAGTTTCTGCTGCTGCCGTTTGGATTCAACATTAAAAATCACGATTTAATCTTTTTCTTCCGTACAGAACGAACCCATGTCGTTTCTGCTGCTTTTCCTCTTTCCCTGTTTTTAATGAGCAGCTCTGGGGGAAAGCGCTCATGTGTGCAGGAGCCTTCACAGCGGCGCACACCTGACAGAGCCCACTAGCACCCGCCCACTGCAGCGCTTCGAAGCTGTCAATCACATGCACTGGTCCAGACAGTGTAGAACAGGCCTCGTTCTGATAACGCTGCAGCCATCTGGAGACGTTACTGCTGAATAATGCACTGCGCTCTTCCACTGCTGCTCTGCGCACAAGCATCTCTCTGATTATGGCCATTTACATGTGTGTGCGGGCGCTAATAGAGTCGTCTTCATAAGCCCGAATCCAGGCCCGCGTGCATGGAACATTGTTTGTAAAGCTAATTAATTATAGATGAGATTTGTGCTCTATTCAACAAGGCTGCTCTGTTAACCACACAGCTCCACTCCTGTCGATGGGTTTCAGAAGGGCCAGAAGAAACGAGAAGCATTGCCATAGAGCGATTAACAATTTAAAACGATAACATATAGTTTGAGAATCTGGTAACATGGAAAGAGTATTAGTTGGGTCATCAGGGAAATCATCATCCCTCATGAAGATAACTTTTTTGAAGAAATGAGCCATGATTATGTAGCATATATCGGCTCCTACATATTACTGGCATTTTAAACTTTTAGTTAATAGTTGTACAAGTACACAACTGATACAGTATTTATTTCATTTAAATTCATAGAGGACGTTGCGTTTCCCATAATTTGACCACACAGGGATCACACGGGAACTCATATCATCTACATTGGTTTGGGGAAATGTTTTGTCAGATTTATTTTTTGGAAATGTTCACATGTCGCGCAAATGTGAGTGCATCCTGCAACTTGTGTATTGTGCAACCCCGAGTTGAGGGCTTGCATTGGGCCTGTGTGTTATGACCATCAGACTGCTGCTGTTAATTCAAGACATATTCTTTCTACTGTAGGTATAGGTGTTACTTCATGAAAACATTATGCAAAACTGAAATTTTACACGCTTTACTGGGCTTTAAATCTTTGTATGTCTGTGTCCTGTCCTGTATATAAGCCGAGTGAACATTCCTTCGGTAGTTCAGTAGAGTAGAGCTCAGTATAAACACCACACAACATATAGATTTGTGCTCGCATTATGGAAATCTATTATTAAAGTATAATGGTTCCCTGTGTGTACATTTTTAGGACTGTCAAAATCAGAGAGAGAGGTTGTAGGTAAATGTTCTAAACTGGAGCGTTTTCTATGGCTGCCCTCTGCTACTTCAGTAACCGCAGCCTTCGTGATTTACTGTTTCTCCAAATTGCAGTTGTATTTTAATCAAACTTTCATCCTTGTGCTGGATTCTCCCACAGCACAGAGGAAAGCCAAGACCTTGTAAAATCCTCACTATCAGAGGACAGAGTCACTCCTGTGTCCTCCTCATTCTCATACTCCTTTCTTTGTTCTTTTTGCACATACGGGAAAAGCCCATCTCAAAGTCTTGGACAAGGCACAAGTGTATAGTACTACACTGCCAATGAAAATAAGTAAATACTAAACAATATACTGCAAAAAGTGATGAATAATAAGTCTGAAATTGCTCTAACTTGGCAAAATTTATCCTAATTCGGGCACATTTCGACAACTTACAACTAAATTTGCCAATGGGACAAGCAAAATGATCTTGTTTTAAAATAATACAAGAAATGTCTCCCTTGGAATGAGAAAATAAAGAAATCTTGTTTTAAAACAGAATGTACTCAAATTAAGATGAAAAACCTCTTGATTCAAAACAATATTACCTGATATTTCATATTTTATTGCTGTGTATATATGTATTTTTGGGTGTAAATGGATAATTAATCAAATATGTCATGTATTTTTAATCAATCTGTCTATATAAAAAGATGGATGGATTGATTGATTGAAGATGAGGAGTGATAAAACTACATTTTATTGTAATGTCTTATTTGAATTATGTTTTACTTCCTTCATTTTTACATCAGGCCTTCCCTTCAGGCTTAAATGTATTCTTTCTTCAAAATGTTGGAATAGAATATCTTGTATCTATCATACCTACTGTTTATCTTGCTCATACACACATCCCAGTACGCTGACATAAAAATCACACCAGTTAATAATAAGTAGTGGTACAAAGATGTGTTGGCTGTGGTGGTTTGTGGGTCAATGCTAAAACCACCGCTCCCACTTGTGCCTGCGTCCTCCCCGTACACAGCGGTCCTCCCGTACTCGGTGGTTATCCCCGCCTTAGCTGTGATTGTCTCCTCTTTCCTGCAGCCAGACCACAGCTGTATCTGAAGTTGTGGTCCCTTCCCCTGTGTTGTGAAGGTGACCCGTGTGTGTACTTCTTCTCTGTGGTTATTGGGGGAGCAGTGATGAGGAGTCAGGCCTAAATGAGGATAGATTACCCAGTGTCCCCGGCCTCTGCCCACTGCACACCGCGCTGACGAAAGAGAAGTATTGGAAATCGACACCTTGGCTACATTAATCCTATGGTCCATTTAGCCAGTTCAAACAGCGAGGGAGGCTTCTGCTTTTCAATCCAGGCAAAAAATGTATGAAGGAGCGCTGTCTATTAGAGTGACCTCAACACGGGATTTTACCACTTCATTGGGAGCCAAAGAGAAAAAAAGAACAGGATTTATTGATCGGTGCAGTCAACATGCTTGGATTAAAGACTTATTCTAATGTAACACACAGTTGTTTTTGAAATTGTGCCAAAACATGTCGCCATTGTCAAACAGAACATTTGGCTGTTTAGGCGCATAGGGCAACTCAAGGTGCTTTACAGAACAAGAACGGAAATATTAGAATACAGAGCTTTTCATCATATTAGTGTATTTTTGTCAATTTTGCACAAATGAAGGGACACATTGGCAGCTCGTTCATGTAATCTGCTGCTAAACTGACAGTAAAAAAATAATCCCTATACATTCCTGTTTATTCAAATTCCAATATGTTTTTGGTTAGTTTTAAAGGTAAAGGTGCACTTGATTTATCCTCTGACCATCCGCCTCCATTCGAACCATCCTGATGCCACTTTTGCAATTTTGATGGACTTCCATGTGGTCTGTAGATATTGTTATTGAAATGAAGCTCCTATTATGAAGATTTTTATCTATGTATATTTTATGCATTCCTTTTTGTGTTCCTACTGCTGTTACATGTGCACTGCAACACTGACATTTCCCCACTTCCCCACTGCATAAAGATTATCTTCTATATCTTGTACTTGTCTTTGTCCACCTGTAGCTATAACACAAAACACACATCTGTCCACAGTGAACGGAGTGTCGTGGGGCGGAGATGCAGCCCGCCAGAAGAGCCACACCTTCACCTGTCGGATGCTGGTGAAGTTTGGCCACGCCCACGGCCCGATGGAGGAGGGGCACGGAGGACCCCTGTACGAGACCATGCAGTGTTTCGCTCTGACGCAGCCTAAAGCCATGATCGAGGAGGGAGAAGGTACAGTTTATGTTTGTGTGGACTGGACTGGTGCCCACTGATGCTCTGTCCTCACAAACTCAGTCACTAATGAAACTGAAACTAAAACTAAAACTAGAGCTGTTTAAAGGTGCATAACTCAACTGCCCGAGTGGTGCCCAGTTTGGTTTAAAACATTCCTCGAAAAGTAGTTGAAGCACTAAAATCATCCATAAATAAGATTCTCTAGAGATACAGCTGTGATAGTGTATGATAACAAATCCTGGACAGTTGAGGAATACACCTTTATAATGCACATTTGTATCCAGACAATGGAAAAATGAATAATTCTTCTTTGTAATCCAATTTACCATTTGATATTTAGATATGTACATATATTTTTTGTTTCTTTTATCAAAACAAAATTACAATCCATATTATTAGTCAATTAGTCACTATCAGCCTTCTAATTGTTGCAGCACTACTAAGACTGAACCTTAACTGGAAAATCAGAACTTGAACTTTTAACCACTTGTAAACAGTTCCAGCAAAGCAGTCCTCTCATATTCATAGTTTTCCGTGCTCTAGACGATCCTTGTGTGAAGGATTTGAATCTAAATATTGTTAAGGAATATTCATGTCTTTTGTACAGACTTACAATCATGCATGATCTGCGTGGCACGTCGAGTGACAGCGATGGAGAGAACCGAGAGCTTCAACACGCGGCACGAGCTGTCAGGTGAGGAGAAACTGGACTATGATGAACATATTTACTGCAGATAATACACTAAACAAGTAACACATACTTAAATTCTGACCCAGTAGAGTTTTCTTCTGTCTGAGCCATACACTGTAAATATTATTCATGTCCTATTATTATATTGTTGTTTGAACATGTCTTCTCTCTCCATGTTGTTTCTGTAGGTAAACTGATTCAGATCGACCAGAACTCTCTGCGCGCCTCCATGCGGCCGGGCTGGGAAGACTTACTGAGACGCTGCATTCAGATGTTCCTCCAGCACAGTGACGGACAGCCCTGGTCACACAAGCGCCACTATCATGAAGGTGACCGCCTCAGTCAATAAGTCTGGTTTAACAATGACGCAGACTCAGGAGTGGATGGAGAAGGAAACTGTCAGCCATTTTGAATCTGCTATAATATATGTCTGTCTCTTGATTGCGATAGTTTGGGATGTGGAGAATGGTAAAAACATCGATTTTACTGCTGACTTCTGTTTTTCTTCTTGAACAATGAGGAGATTGAGTTGTAAACTATGTAAAAAGTTCTTGGCTTTTTGCTTTTATAATTTATTTTTACGTCAAGGTAGAAATTTAAGATGATAAAGATATATACTGGTGATCAGTGAGTGTCGTACCTAATACTAATAACAACTTCTCATCTTTTTATAATATAGAGTGCACCTTTAAAGTTAAGTTCCGTTACTTTCTAAAGTAAGATTGAGAGATTTTTAGAACACATGCACCAGTTAGACCCGCCCCCACCGGTTCCTGATTGGACGCAATGAATTCCAACCCTTGATAGACAGTTGAGGCTCCCACTATTGGTCTAACTCTTCTCCTCTGTGAGGCCTATTCTATGGGGAGGAACTGTGTTTGAATATTTATTAAGATATTTAAATGTCGACCTTTTAGCTTTGGTTTAATACATTTCTTTGCCTCCTGCAGCATTCCTGCAGGGCCACGCTGAGACGCCTCTCTACAGGTTCTCTCTGTCAGACGGGACTCCGGTCACAGCCCAAACCAAGAGCAAACTCTACCGACACCCGATGAGCAACGAACCACAAGGCTTCATCTCCACCCACCTGCTGCAGAGGTCAGGGCACGTACCTGCACACACTCAGAACACACAATGTGAAGAGCTGCCATGGCCTTTAGATTAAGATTTAGACATCCTTTTTTTTGTCACACAATGGGGAAGTTTCAGTGTTGCCTCACAATTTTCAGAACAGTAGAACACACAGCACAAGATAAATGAATAATAACTCCATACATACAATAACTTATAATAAAATAACATAAAATCTCTAACCCTAGCATGAAAAGAAGCAGTATAACATGTCTATCTTTAGCATAATAAGGAAAGAAGTCTTAAAATCTCCAACTTTAGCAGGATGAAGAAGCAAGACTTAAGTACAAAAACCCCATTTGTTTGAGTTAACTTAGAAGCCTAAGTGTGCATTTGTAGACACAATCCCTAAGATTTCAAAAAGTAATATTTTTAGTTATACTTCATCTGAAACATTGATATTTTACGCCAGAAATGCACGTCATAATGTAGACTAATGTAAACTATCTGATTGTATTTTTATTGTTGTTGTTGACAGGGAACCAATCGGGTACCGCTCAAATCAAGGCGGAAACATGATGCCAAACCCCATGAGACAGCAGAGTATGGGAGGTCCCAACCCCAACGCCCAGATGTCCATGAACCCCGGTGCGGGCATGGGGATGGGCAACATGAGCAACATGAGCAGAGGCTATGGCATGAGCGAGCCCAACCACATGGGTCCTATGGGGGGAGGCGGCATGTACGGACCCAACAGTGGAGGAGGAGGGGGAGGGGGCGGAGGAGGAGGAGGAGGAGGGGGCGGGATGGGCAATAGAATGATGCAGATGAACAATATGAACCCGATGGGGCCCATGAACCACCCCGGACAGGGCATGGCACAGCAGCCTCCCTTCCAGAGCAGCGGGGGCTTTGGGCTGAGCGGCATGAACAGTCCGTCTGGAAGCCCCCGCATGAGTGGACCGCAGCAAGGCCTCCTCATGTCCCCACGGACCAGAGGCAGCCCCAAGATGGGAGCCAACCAGTTCTCACCCGGAGGTCAGTCTGATGTGAAGCCTGGGTTTGTAATGTGAAAGGATTATTACATTATACATGATGCAGTATTGTGTTGTCAAAAGACATGATTAGATAAGATGAGAGAAAATGTCAATGTTAGTAAGAGCACACAGGGAGCACACAACCAGTCTTTCAAAAAAATAATATATATGTATGTATAGTGCAGAGTTATATACTGTAGATAGGGCGGGAAAAAAAGTAGATAAAGTAAAGTAACATGGACATTCTGAAGTTGCAGTATTTTCTTTCCTTATTTACAGATGAATGACATTTACAGGCTCAGCAGTTCTCATTGTACAGTCTGACAGCAGTACAATGAGAACTGCTGAGTCGTGAAATACAAAGTGGGTCGTTACAACAATGTTTATCAGCCACAAGAACAGGAACCTGGGGTTATTTGTGTGTTTGTCTAATGTCAGATGCAGTACTATACTATTCCTGCATACTGTAGTTGGAGATGGACAATTAAAGCTGGGATACCTAATTGTTTGGATACATTTTGGTTGTCCCAACAGGAAGAGTCTTGTTAAAGTAAATGATTGTGACTAAATCAGGCCGTGACATTGTTTTGAATACTTGTAAGAAAGAGCCCTGTGATGTCTTGGGCGTAGAGATGGTCCACTCTTTCTCACTTTTCTGATCTAAAGATGTGGCAGGCCAAAAATACAGGCACCTTCTCGGAGCCACAGGAAGCCAGTGCACAGACCTGAGGACTGGACTAATGTGATCATACTTCCTGGTTCTAGTCAGGACTCGAGCTGCAGCGTTTTACAGCTTGTAATAGATTACTCTACAGTCATTTTCTGAAACTGTTCTCAATATGTCATAGAACAAACATTTCACTTCATAAACATAAAGCAGGCTTTGATCTCAGATATGCAGCCCTTGTGACTGTTGTTTTTACTATAAGAAAGGATTGTTGACTGGATATGAAGAAAAATATAATTAATAATAACAATTACACTCCAAAAACGTATCAATCCCCCCATCTAGAGATCTGTCCTAATATCATGTCCTTCCCTCCGCAGGCTTACACTCTCCCATGGGGGCCCTCGGAAACAGCGGAGGAAGCAGCAGCAGCACCACCACGTTCTCCAGCAGCTCTCTGAACGCACTCCAGGCCATCAGCGAAGGCGTGGGGAGCTCTCTGCCCTCCACGCTCACATCTCCATCCCCATCTCACAAACCAGACAGCTCCCCCAGCGTGCACTCCTCCTCCTCCGCCTCCCAGCCCCCACAACTCTCCAAACCGGCTCCGGAGGGCTCCAAAAGTCCGGCCGGAAGTTTAGCATCTGACCACCACCACGCCATGCATCACCACCACCACCACCCGCACGCCCCGGCTGAAGTTTCTACCGAGCGCCCCGATAGTCAAGCGGCTAAAGACACGGCGGAAACAGTCGGGGAAAGCAACGTGGGCACTTCTGAAGCGCAGCGCAGGGTCCCAGACAGTAAAGGCCACAAAAAACTGCTGCAGTTGTTGACGTCTCCCACAGAGGAGCTGGGACTGGGCTCGAGCGGGCCTCCGATTCCGCCCCCACCAGCTCGAAGCTCCACTCCGGCGGACACGAAGGACCCCGCTGTAGGCATGACTAGCCCTTCTTCCACTGGCGTGTCCTCCTCATCATCAGCCACTCCTAATCCCGGGCAAAGCGTTCCAGGCGGTGCGTCTGCTGCGGCTCTATCGGCAGCCCAGTACACCGGCTCGCTTCAGGAAAAGCACCGGATTCTGCACAAGCTCCTACAAAACGGCAATACTCCGGACGAGGTGGCGAAGATCACGGCCGAAGCCACAGGGAAAGTGACTCTCGGAGGGCAGGAAGTGGGGGAGGCGGGGGCAACGGGGACCGGGACTGGCCCCGCGATGCTGACGGAGCCCAAGCAGGAGCAACACAGTCCCAAGAAGGAGAAGCCCCATGCGCTGCTTCACTACCTGCTGAACAAAGACGACTCCAAAGAACCACCAGACGTCAAGCCCAAACTGGAGGATTTGGAGGGGAAAGGGCCTGGCAGATGTGGGGCCCCCGAGCTGCCTGAGAGCAAGATCAAGTCTGAGCCTCCTGATGAGGTATGTTCAAATATAACATCCAATATGGCTGTCATGTGAGTAGGACTGACAGTAGGGCTAGAAATCTGTAATAGTTCATTATAGCTGGGGTTCTTAACTACCTACATTCTGTAATGATGAATATGTTTTGCTTGATCCAACAGAAAGTAAAAGTAAAATGGTGTGAACAAATCAGACCTCTACATGCTGTCTGTATCTTATTAGAATTTTGTTTTAACTTTTGTATACGGCATAAGAAAGATATTTGTGCTGAGAGCTGATTGGCTGAGTGAGGGAGGTTCTCTCTTTTTCTCTTTTCTGTCTGAAATAATCTGATCTAAAGATGTGAGGCCAAATATACATGTGTGTGAGAACAAGTGGCACAGCTAAAAGTTTTGAAAGAGAGGAACTAGTGAGATGGATTCTTTACATATTAAATGTTGTTGTGGTTTGAAAGTTACGTACCCCAGCTTTAATTCATCTTCTGTGCCTAAAATAGCAATTGGCAAATAATGGAATTGCAGAGAAATGTTTGTACCAAAGTAGCTTGAGTGCCAGCAATTGTACATGCACCATGGTTTGAGAAGCACTACAAGAGGCAAAGTGATATAGCATGTCCGTATGTGAAATGAGTGACACAGACTACAATGTCGCTACTGTTTAAAAAAGTAAATAAAACAAACATTGAGGCCTTAAAATCCACAGAAGATCCATTCTGTGTTGTGTTGGTGTTCTGTCTCTTACCGCTGCTGTTTCATACAGCTTCATAACCTGGAGTCCATCTTGGGAGATCTGAGAGGTTCAGGCTCCGACTATTACCCCGATCAGGCTGGAGCCGGGGCCAGCGACACAGGAAGCAAGGGTTGCCTTGACGACGGGCTGCATGGTAAGCTGGAAACGAACAAAGCCGTAACAGCAACAGGTGCAGCGATGGCATAATGCACATAAGAACGACTTTATGTTTAGTGCTGCTGTAATTACACATGAGTCGATCAAGATACAATCATTATCTTGTTTTTTAATATTAACATTAAAATCCACATTGATCCACAATCAAAATCAACAGTCAATAAACTTGTCACAAAGTAATTAGCTTTTAATTTGTTTTTGTTGTTATTCACATGTTTTCTTTACTCAAACTGGGCATGGACACACAAACAGTGGGGCAGCTTAAAGGATATTATTTATTTATTCTGCACATATCCTGCTAATATACACATTTAAGTCTGAGATTACCAGTATATGTTTTTGTTCCCAGAGTGTAATATAGGTTTATACTTGAGAATGTACATCTATTGATCTTGTCTGCGCTCTCAGATCTCATCTCATCCCAAGAATCAGCTGAAATAGAAATGTTGGACTAATATTCCTCCAGTAGCTGAAAAGCCATAACATTGTGTATTGTTGTGTGGTGCAGGGAGTCCTGGGATGGGTCTGGGGCCGCGGGGACAGTTTCAGAGGACTCTGTCTCTGGATGGGAAACCTGGAGCAGGGAGACGTCCCATGCTCATCAAGCAGGAGAACGTGATGGGCCCCGACGGCTTCCCAGGGAGCATCGGTGAGGTTTCCAACACTTTAACAAACAGACTGTGTTGTGTTTAATAGTTAGTGGATTTTAGATTGGCATTCAAAAGTCCATTTTCTTTTGTAATTCAAGATGTTGATAATTGGCTCACAGCTGTAAAAACCTCAAATATTTCATTCCAGAAAGGACTATAGATTCAGATGAATTTATTTGAATTTACAATATTGGAATGCATACGCAAAAGTCCCCCAGTGACAATAACAGTTTCAATACAAAGGCAAGATCACTAAAGTGCTCCGTTCAAACTGATGACAGCTTGTGGAAAGAAGCTGTAAGCTACAATCCTCCACATTATAACAAAGGCATATGTCTGTATGTAATGAGTGTAATATCATATCATATAATGGTTTCACATTTAAAATTAAACTACAGAAACAAATGAACTTTTTAATAATTCTAATATTCACTTATAAGCAACAACACACAATATAAACTTTGAACATTTCACATTATTGAGCTAAGACAATGTAATAATTGAAACAAATCTCATTACTAAAGTATAACTTAAAACACCTTTGAGTGTTAAACCATAAGGACACGATTATAAAATGATCAAAAGCTCTTTAAAGTATTGTGAGTAAAGTATTGTCGTTGTTTTCAGGACCCATGAGCCGGGGCTCGGTGCCACAGAGGTCGCCCATGGGAGGATCTGGGGACTGGGGCATGCCAGGCTCCACTGCCAGCCCAGGGGGGGCAGCAGGACACCCCTCTATGATGCGCCCTGGGATGGACTACAACAGCAAGGCCATGATGGGAGGAGCTATGGCCTCTCGCTCCAACAGCCTCCCAGGCACACGCTCCATGCTGCAGCAGCAGCTCATGGATATGGGTGAGGACAGAACTATGTTGGCAACGATTAATTCATTTCTCCGTGTTTACACTTGAGTTATTTACCTCTTACTATGTGTGATATTAGGTGGATCTGGGGACATGGGAATGAGTCCCTTTAGCCAGCAGGGGCAGCCTAATCAATCCTCCTCCTGGCCAGACTCCATCATGGGCATGGACGGGAACCGGTATGTGCTCTTTCTTTCATGTTATAAACTATACGAGGACATGACATATCATCACAACAAATACAAAAATGATATTGATTTAACCAACATTAAATGTTATAGTCGTACTGTAATGTTTTTGTCTTTTCTAAAAGGCGTCCTTTTGGAAACTCTTTGGACGATTTGCTGGTTCCTCCGTCGACCAGTGAGGGTCAGAGTGACGAGCGCTCGCTCCTGGATCAGCTGGATTCGCTGCTCAACAACACGGACGGCATCGCTCTGGAGGAGATAGACCGCGCTCTGGGCATCCCAGACCTGGTGGGACAGGTACAGAGCTTACAACAAACACACCCTGCCTCATCCAAATAAACACTATATTTATATCCATTTCAAAAAAACTTGTTACTGTGGACTTACTATTTGTTCTTTTCTTGATAGAACCAGGGACCAGAGCAGCCACTCGAGTCTTTCCCAGGACAGGACCCCTCCATGCTGCTGGAGCAAAAGTCCCTCTATGGACAAGGTTATCCTGGACCCCCCACGATGCCAATGCAGTCTGGTTACGGAGGGAACCCCATGCATGGACAGTCCCAGCAGCCCGGGTTTGGACCCATGCTCTCTCAAATGGGGCAGGGGGGGAATTTCCCTGGCATGGGGGGCATGGGGCATCCACGGGCTAACATGATGAGACCCAGAATGATGAGTGCCAACAAACCTATGAGGCTGCAGCTCCAGCAGCGGCTCCAGGGCCAACAGGTGCAAATACTCTCCAGTTTGTAGTTGAACCATTTATGTACCATTTATTTATGCATGCTCATGTTTATTACAGTTTATGAATCAGACGCGACAAGGCATGGGTATAAAGATGGAGAACCCAGGGGGAAACCCTGGGATGAGGCCGGGCATGCAGCCTGGCATGGGAGGACAGGTGAGCGTTTATGTTCTAGTGCTTTCAGTGATGTTACCGCTGCCGTGTCACTAACGTGTGTTTCCTCGTTACAGCCTGGTTTTGTGAATGCTCAGATGATGGCTCAGCGCAGCAGAGAAATGGTGTCTCTGCAGATGAAGAAGCAGAGGATGATGATGCTGATGCAGCAGCAGCAGGCGGCTGCAGCCGGAGGCTTTAGTCCTCCTCCAAATGTCACAGCCCCTGGGGGCATGGAGAACCCCATGGGGGGCCCGAGCATGGGCCAGCCAGGCCCCCAGCAGTTTGGCTATGGAGGAAACTATGGTAGGCCATAATCTGCTGCTCTCTGGTGGTCATATTGAATATTGCAGGTTTTGCTGTAACTTTATCTTCTGTAAATAGTATGTCATTAAATATTAGGATGATATTAATGTTAGGATGTTAGTTATTTTTATTTTTTGTGGCAAATTATAAATGTGTGAATGCAGGGATGGGCCAGCAGCCAGAGGCTTCTTTTGGCCCCAATGGAAGTCCTCCTAATGCCATGATGGCAGGACGCATGGGCCCTCAGAACCCCATGATGCAGCAGCAGAGCAGCCACATGTACCAGGGCCAGGACATGAAGGGCTGGGCTCAGGGGGGCATGGGCCGCAACAGGTAAACGGGCTCTAAACACATGTGTGCCTAAAACCATGTTATAGGTTTTAACAATGTTGGTCTGTGCACAGCTCTTACCCACAGCAGCAGTTTGCGCAGCACGGCGGCCCAGGGCAGCAGCAGTACGGAGGCATGATGATGAATGGAGGAATGCCCTCAGGGGGGTCAGCGCACATGGGGCAGATGGGGGGACACATGGGCATGAACCCCATGGTCATGGGACGTATGCCAATGGGGCCTGATCAGGTACTATCACTTTTCTCAGAATGGATGTTAAGGCTGTATACATGAAAAAATAACCCTATGTATCTATTTATAGAAATATTGCTGAAAACAGAAGCAGTGAGAGAGGTGACACATGCAGTAGGACTGAAGCTCCTGACGGGGGTGTTTGACTCAGTGGCCAGTAGAGGCAGTATTGCCACCATAAGAAAATGGTCTTATAAGAAGCCTATACAATCACACATCACAACCAACACTGTGAGACATTTCCCTTCAAAAACATGGACTGTCTCCTTTTACAAGAGGCGTGACCTCAGCTCAAACACGCCATCTATTGGACCAAACGCTCAGACAGCAACCCCTCGGACATTGTTCATGGACACATGTAAGGCTCTTCTCTGTGGAATGTACTGGTGTATCTCCTCCATGGGCCTGCTGCTCCACATGTACCACATGTACAGTTAGTGCAGTAACATGTAGTCAGATTGTGACACACTGATGAATGTCATAAAGCAGTAGCACATAGTTGTGTTCTTCAGCTGAAGTCCAACTGAACCTGTCGTTGGCTCCATGCACTTTAACACAAGGCCAACGTCTAAAGGACTGTGGCAATACAGAGGCCTTTACCACAAGCTCTGTCGACGTGTCTGTCTACAAGTCTTCTTTTGAAGCAGGCGCTGTTCATGGAAGAAGATTTGAACCTTTCTAAAGTGGGGGTCATGTTGGAGAGGTATTATATATGCTGTAGTCTCTAATGTAATACAGATGTTTAAAATAATTTATTTTCCCCTTTGGTGACAGACGTTGAAGTCAATATGGACTGTTTTGAAATGAAATTGTCTAGACAAACGTATAAAGACTAATCCAAAACCGTTCTATTTTGAATCAAGCACACTGATATGTTCTAAAGAGGCTGTAATTGGATTCTATGGATAATCCTTGCTTCTGGTACATCCTCTGATTTTACGGTACTGCAGTATTAAAATATGATGTCTTGTTTGGAGCAGTCATCTGTAGATATGAATTGTATATACATGCTCAAAATGTATTATAAATATATATTATATAAATATATATATGCTTTTGTAGGTTGCATACTGTTTTTGCACAGATTGCAAGGCTTGATATTTAAAAATGTAATTTTTTATTCTCATAGGTCAGCTTTTATTTTCAATACTTCAACCATTGGTGTGAACGGTTCTGCCTCCTATTGTAACATATCCAGAGTAATCCAAGCACTTTTCATTTAACTTATTGTTTCCAGTGGCAGTCTTAGATACAGAGGTGCTAATGAGTCTACAGGTGCTGGATCTAACTTTGAGTTTTGTCTGAAATGTCAGTGCTAAACGCTGGTTAACACATGAAGTACATGATGTTTTAATGACTTAGAACTTTGCCTTTTTGTCCTGAAGATACGCTCAACCCAAAGACCTTCATTTGCTTCTGCGGCCACAGTTTCTCTTGTAAATGTCTTCAAACGTGCTTTTGCTGTTGCACATAACTATATATGAAATGTTAAATGCATTTATTATATTTCCATTCATGTAGCATAGTCTGGCATTGCCCAGATGGAGAACTCTCCTTGTGACGAGTTGAGGCCAGTTCAGTTTTGACGTTGCCGAATGTTTGGAGGTTCAATCATGTAATTGCAGTAAAGTCCCTTTGGTTTTATCACAAACCCATCTGAAAATAATGTCAAACCAATCATTTTTGCTTTAAAACAAGTGCATTGTTGAATATTAAGAAGCGACATCTGTGTAACATTGTCATCACAGGATGTAAAATATGAATGCATTTTTCTTAACCCGTTTCTCGATGTTAATATCATTGTAAATATAAATTTATATTTAAACATTACACCGCCTGTCTGTCATTTTTTGATTCAACCGTTTGTTATTGGTTCATATTTTGAGGGAGTGTGTGACAAAATCAGCACAATAAGGACCAGTTAGGACCCGATAAGAATAAATGTGAACTACACATAGCTATTTAGCAACTCTACTACAGCAACTCTACACTAAAACATAGAAGAAGAAATATATATATATATATATTTGTATGTAGTAAGGGCCTATCCATTAATTCAAGGGAAAATATTTTTTGAATGAGAAATAGTCCTCAGTTATAGAACCCATGCTGTAACCCCATTGAGCCAGAAGGTCTGAAAAGTAAAATAACGAGAGAAATATTTTTGAAGCCTTGATTATAATTTTTAAAAATATATAATTATTGAAATAATACATCAGACCCATGCGTACGACGTTATATGGATCCTATATCCTCAAATCGTTGTCTGTGCCACATTACCCCTGGTGGACGCTCTTCTACCCCCAGCCTTTTATGACAGCCTCAGCCTCAGTGTCAGGGCGGAGCTGGAGGCGGGAGGCACCAATAAGCGAAGACGCGCGCCGGCTCCATTGGCTCATTTGGGGCCAGCGCACACCAAGAGCCAAGACTCACTTTGCTTTGTCCGCAAAAGGAGACAACAACAACCTACAAGACACCTGTCATACGCCTGCACATCCTTATCCACCCCCTTCCACCACCGCCGTGCTCCAGGACCAGCCGCAGAGCCATGGACCTGCACCCGCTATAGCGCGCACTCTTGTCTCTCTTTCTATCTCCCTCTCTCTCTACTCTCCGGGTCTCCGCTCCCATCCATCACGCATATGTCTTCTCCGCTCTCGCAACTCGTAGGTCCTCCTTTAGAAATAATGCACTCCATCAACGAAAAAGACACAACCTATACTAAGATATTTGTAGGAGGTTTGCCGTACCACACCAATGACGCGTCTCTGAGGAAATACTTTGAGACTTTTGGAGAGATCGATGAAGCGGTGGTGATTACGGACAAGCAGACGGGCAAGTCCAGAGGATACGGCTTTGTAAGTACACTTCTTTATAACTTTTGTCATGTAATGCGGGCGGATTGTCTTTGTAATGCCATAAGTGCCTGTTTTTTAGGCAAGTAGTGGTAGTAGGAGTAGTAGGAGTAACTTGTTTGTGATCCTGGAAGTCACATGTTTGCAGTTATGGGATGAGAAGTGTGTCATCCATTAACCCAGTAACATATATATTGAGGCGCAGACTTGGCGCAGAGGTGTACCATGCGCTGCGTTGGGAGATAAGCCGCTATAGTGAACTTTCTGACCCCACTAAAGTTGATACTAACCCGAGTGGTGGTTTGGATGTGGCTATAACTTTTTGTTTCATCAATAAAGTTATTTGTCCAAATAGAAATAGTAGAATGAATGTTAATAAATCATGTTTGACAGGGTTGACTGACTGACCTCGTTTTCTCTTTTCTGTCTGAAAACGCTGATCTAAAGATGTTACAGAGGCCAAAGGAGGTCTCGCTTTATGTTCTGGACCGGTTTAAGTTAACTTAGATAAATCCATGACATCCGACCGGGAAAGCAGAGTTATGTGTTTTTACAAACAAACATATTTGGTTTGTTTCCCCCTAATTCTGATTGGCCCTTGACTGGTGGACCCCGGCTGGCCCTTTGGACCAGGTGGCCATGTGCGTCACATTCATTCCCTCTCTATGGGACAGTAAACATTCTCTTCTGATTACAATGCATTTATTAGTCAGTTAATTAGTATGTCATCGCTATAGCAACCTCTCACAAATGATGTTGTTGTTCTTTCATAGCCTAAGCCGTCCTCTCCTTTTCACTTTTCTGTCTGTGAAGACTGATCTAAAGATCTTTATTATTTCCCTTCTTTCGTTGACAGGGATGCAGACGGTACTGTCTTCACCTCCCATCACCCCTGTTGTACTGTCAAATAAGAACAAGCATTTCTTTCCATTTTGCTTGTTCTTGGTCCTCAGATCTGGCCACTCCTCACTGTGGAGATTCAAACCTGTTCTAAAAGCAGTGTTGGACCTGTGTCCTGCGGCAGGTCTCGGTCTCTCAGAGGTTTCCTGAGGTTTGCTCCTGACGCTTGTGCACGTTTGTTTTTCCATGTGTCTCTCGTGCCACTGGATGTTCTCTCCTCTTCATAGGTGCAGGTTCTGGGATGGACACAGGCGTATCTTGTTTCTGAGGACCTGTTTCACTGAGTAGGTTACTCCAGGCTTTGGGCTTTACTGAAGGGAAACTTCCCTTTTATATGGTCCCAAACCATCTTTTTATCCGGGATAAACTCTTGTGGAGCTTTACTTGGAGCATGTTGGGTTCTACTGCTCTGTTCTTTGCCAACATGTGTCTGAGAAGTCTGAGGTTTGACAGAGTTCTCTGGATGACGCTTGTGTGCGTTTGCTTTTCTCTGTGTCACTTCTGCCTCTGGCTTTTGTTGCCTCTTCTTGTTCCTTCCTTTAGTCTGTTTTTGCCGTCCTTCATGCTCTGGTTGAGCCTGAAGCTCAACCTCTTGCACCAACATCTCTGGAGGAATGTCCCAAACACCAGAACAAGCCGTCTGGTGTGGGACCTTCCTCTGAGTGTGTGTCAGGGCTTCAGGAGGGCATACAGTATAGCAGCCTGCTGCTGCGCAAACATCTCGTCACTCACTTCTGTCAGCTGGACGGGTGGTCTTTGGCTCGGACTTGACCAGGTCCAAGACCCTCAGAGGAGCTGCTTCATGTTTTGTTATTTGCTAAATGTTCTGGACTTGTTTAAGTTAACTTTGATAAATCAAAGACATCTCACACAGAAAGCAGAGTTATGTGTTTGACAATTTTTTTTTATTTGTTTCTTCCACTAATTCTGCATCACATACATTCCCTCTCCATGGGACACATTCTGTCTGATACAGTGCATTTATTTTCCAGTTAATTAGTGCAGCCATGGGTTCAGTCTTTATTTTCCCTCACATGCCTCCCCTTATTTTCTTCCCTGTTTAGTCCTTATTTAGTCCATCCGGTTTTCTCATTTATGGTTCACATCAGACATAATTGAGAATGAACCTCTGAGACCTCTGATGTGAACAACAATGATAATGGTGCAGTTATGAAATTAGAGAGTGAGGGGGAAATATTCATTGTTTTATCTTAGCATGTGAACCAATGAGCTGAGACGACCACTGGACGCTACAGTCGCTGTGTTCTTTGGGACCGCTTCATCCCTGACTGCTCTAAACGACCCAAATCACCCGCAGGACCTGTGCTGATATGTTACCGAGCCGTGGCCTGTGAAGAAAGCTGGGATTTATAGTCCCCTTGTATTTGTAGAGAGTAGACAAGGTTAGCTTGGGCTTTATATCCAGTTAAATGATGCACTGGTGCATTAATATCCCAGGAACTTTTCCACGCACTGCGACCACAAACATATATTTTATTTCCATACTATTTGAAAGACCAACACAAAGTGGCAGAAACGTATTAAATGAAAGCAGAATGATTCGTGTCTTTTCTCTCTCCTTTTTACCAATACAAAACTGTATTATAAGTCATACTAACATACACTCCGGCTAACAGGCTACTTCTAAACACACTCATTTTTGCTTTCACTTCTCAATTGGCAGGAGTGTCTGTAGCCCTGGTGTGTGCCTCTCTGTCTGGTGCACACTGAGGTAATAGTCTTGCACAGTTTTTCCAACGTGGTTTTACTGCGAATGGCAAATAAATTCTTGCATCTTGAATAATCTGTCACTTTGTGTTTGTCTTTCACATAAAATGTCAAAGTAATATCTTGGTCACATTTTGAGACATACTTTTTGCAAGGCCCTATAGATGCGTGTTATATTCAATATGTTGGTCATACTTTTAGCCCTCACTAATTAACAGCTAATTAAGTGCTCAGTTGTGTATGATTTATGGTAAATTTGTTTTTAACTGGTATTTATTAAGCACTTATTATGTCTTATTCTATGTGGCCTTATTCAACATATAACCATGAGCTAGCTCTAACCATAGCTTTGGGTTACGGTACACTAACTATAACTAAAACTTAATTTGCTGTTATTTAGTGAGTGCTAATCTAAAGTGCCAATATTTTTACACAGGAAGACACTTGATAAAAAATCCCAGTTATAATAAAAGAAATAAAACCATTTGAAGACTTAAATAAGACATAAAATTACAAGAGTACCTAACTTTAAAACTACTGAAAAAATTAACTGTGGCAGAAAATCCAGGTCACTCGTTCCTCTCTCTCGTTCTCAAAACAGTTGGTTTCTACAAACTGAAGTCATAATGACGACAGATAAAGTAGGAAAGAGGATATTGCTCAAGTTGCCATTCTTCTCCCAGCCAAGTGTCTCCATATCCCACTGTTCATTATCATCTGTGAGTCACATATGATGCATTTTTCACAGTTGATGCCATTTTAGCAGCAAACAGACCGACCGGAAAGCAACAGCCATTTTCATTCTAAACAGTAAGAGTGAGATCGAAATGGAGTAATATATCTAATAATGTCGACCCCCAGATCAAAGGCACTATAAAAACTAAATTGTAATAATTCCATGTAAAACCGTGCTTCCGTAAGGATGGGAGCTTGGATGTGAGTGTGTGTGCTATCTGCCCACTCCCGGTCACTCCCCTGAAGGTGGGTCAACAAGAATCCTGCATATCTTCCTTGGCAGCTCGATATGACGGGAAGAAACACAACCTGCCTCCCACTCAGCCACCCACATGGAGCTGCTGAAGCCCTGTGAGAGCCCACCACCACCACTCCTGTTTCTGAGAGAGACGCTTCCTCTGAACAGGGAGGTGGTCCTCAGAGCGTCTTTATTGTAAATAGTAGAAACATATCACAAGGATTGTCACATTGGACCATTTTTGTCGCTGACGCAGGAGGGTCTGAGGACATTCATGAACATTCACAGATATCGGTCATCCCAGAGCCCTGTGTTTCATATCAATGCTGTTCTAATGGTTTGATTCTCTAATTGGTTGTTGGCAATTTGACAATTTGTACAGTCCTCTTGAAGAATCTAAACAACTCATAGATTAATCAAAAAAATAATTCACTAATTCATTGATTATCAAAATAATCGCTACATTCAGTGCTAATTAGTGATACTAAGAAAGGGAGTTAATTCAGAGTGTACAATGAACACTGCTGACTGCCGTAGTATGTGTGATTCAATAGTAAGCACAACGTGTAGGAAATTAGAACCACACTTGATGTTTAAAAAAAAAAAACAAGATTTAAATAAGAAATATTAGGCATTACTTTTGTCCATTCAAAATTTTAATGAGACTCTTTACTTTTCATGTTATAATATAAAATAAAAGAGGGAAGAATTGAAATTGTCATTATGTTTTTCCAATTTAGAAAATGACCGGCTGCAAACACAGACAGGGCAAACCGATTTAAAAGAACGCAATTTCACCTGGAAAAACTATTGTTTCAAAAGGCATAAAACGGTGTCATGGTGCAATAGAGTGTCATGATAGTGGAACAATTACATAATATTCTTTCAAGACTGAGACAGGATTTTAGACAGAAGGATCCTGCATTGGAGTCGCTGATATAAGAGTGGCTGTATCTAAAAACAACTCTAGGTCTGTTTTGGATGAGGGAACAATGTAGGGCTGGGCGATTTTGCCTAAAAAAAAAATCTCCGATTTTTAAAAGAAAAATTCAAGTTTCGATTCGATTTTCGATTTTTTTTCCCCAATGCACTTAAAAATGACTGGAGACATCAGATATATTGTCAAAAGTGCAAATTTATTGCTGTGATTGTCCTCAAGAGTTAAAATGCAAGTAAATGAGGCTCTGTTATTCAACAATTTCAAGCTTTAACCCAGGTTTAAGCAAAAGTGCAACATCAACTTCACAGTAGCTTAAATTTTCTGATTAAGAAATCAGATAACTACATATTTTGTAACATATAACATTACAATAAAAAATAAAATAAACTCTTCTCTTAGCCTCTCAGCATAATGTGAATATAAAAAAAATTAAACATGCCTGTGGCAGACATATAGCTACTAACTAACTACTTATCAAAGGATAAACAAATGTAAACTTTTATCTTTAACAACAAAACATTAGATCTCTGAAATATTGTGCATGCTCATTCTAAGCATTTTTTGCAAGAAAGATGAGCCTGTCCACAACCACAGGTCCGTGGTGGCTGAGTAAAACGTCATCTCCCCCAGCTCACCGCGGATCTTTTCACGAGTTGTATTGTACAGGTGAGGCAGCGCTACATCGGCGAAATACTTGCGACTGGGGACAACGTACTGTACCTCGCATCTAATACTTTTAACAAGCCCCCCCTGTTAAAACCCCCCCGGGGGGTCGCGGGAACCCCTGGGGGGGTCGCATGATGATTTCTACACAAACAAAAAAAAAAGATTTTTTTTTTTTTGAGCAAATATAAAGCCCTTAAATATTTATTTAGCATTTGATTTGATTCAAAAGGACTACTTGTTAAATTGTGTTTGGAGACTATAATATATTTTAATAACGTTAGTAATTTTGTCCCAGTCATTGCAGCGTCAATCAAAATCATCACGTAACACAGCTCACATCATGCGCAGCGACAAAGCGTGTCCTACTGTTGTTTGCTAAAACTAAAGGTGTTTGGAGGCTACAAATAAATAATACCTGCTTTAAAATGAAACGTGGTTAATATCCACAACAGAAAAACCCGGAGGGGGAGAAAAGTCACTTGTATCAGGGGTCAGGCTGATGGTGCGAAGAGAGGGAGAGAGGGCAGAGGAGGAGAGAGAGAGGCAGCGGAGGAAGAGAGGCCAGCGGAGGGAGAGAGGGCAGCGGAGGGAGAGAGGGCAGCGGAGGGAGAGAGGGCAGCGGAGGAAGAGAGGCCAGCGGAGGGAGAGAGGGCAGAGGAGGGAGAGAGGGCAGCGGAGGGAGAGAGGGCAGCGGAGGGAGAGAGGGCAGCGGAGGGAGAGAGGGCAGCGGAGGGAGAGAGGGCAGCGGAGGGAGAGAGGGCAGAGGAGGGAGAGAGGGCAGCGGAGGGAGAGAGGGCAGCGGAGGGAGAGAGGGCAGAGGAGGGAGAGAGGGCAGCGGAGGGAGAGAGGGCAGCGGAGGGAGAGAGGGCAGAGGAGGGAGAGAGGGCAGCGGAGGGAGAGAAAAGTCACTTGTATCAGGGGTCAGGCTGATGGTGCGAAGAGAGGGAGAGAGGGCAAAGGAGGGAGAAAGGACAGCGGTAGAACAGCGCGTTAAAGAGGCCCGGCTTTTCGGAGTCAAAGGTAAAGAGGTCCGCACATTAAAAGCGGGTGGCCGGTCTATGCCTTTACTGACAGTAACTTTGGAAAGAGAAGCCGCGGGGATGAACCGCATAAAGTAACAGCAGAAAGCGGCCGCCCGCTTTTAATGTGCGGACCTCTTTACCGCTGACTCCGGAAAGCCGGCCCACTTTACCGCGGTAGGAGAACAGTGAGGGCGAGCCGCAAGAAATGCGCTCCACTTCTGCTGAGGAGGGTTAGCAGGGCATTTATGATGGGGGTCGCGGGCTAAAGACTTTGGGAACCCCTGCTCTACTACACGCTGCCATTCTTGTTTTGACTGTGTTTACGCGGCGGAGGGGGCTGGCTCATAACGCTCTACGGTAACCCACAAGGACGAAACGCAAAAAACTCAGAAAAAAAATTTGGTGAAAAAAAAACTCGAGTTTGCAAAATAAAAATCCTTTTAAGCTACAAAATCGATAAATCGATTAAATCGATTTTTTGCCCAGCCCTAGAACAATGTTGTGACAAGGTTCAAAACTGGAAAAGTTGATTTCCCGTAATGTGTCATTGGAGGAGATGATGATGCTGACATGAAGTGAGCTCAAGCTGGATGGGGAGACTCAGTGTGTGGGGGCTCCATCTCTGCCCCACCCCCCTCATGGAAGATGAAGGTCGGACGCACATGTAAGAAGGTGTGGGAGGCTGCACGGGTCACGACAACAGTAATGTCAGATTCTACTTCCTGCAGATAGTGTGTTAACATAGCCATGACCGCCTCTGTGTTTGTTGTTACCTGATTGTGTGGTAACGAGATAAACGATTGTAAACGCAGCCTTCTCTTCGCAGGTGACCATGGTGGACAGAGGGTCAGCAGAACGAGCCTGTAAAGACGCAAACCCGATCATCGATGGGAGGAAAGCCAACGTGAACCTGGCCTATCTGGGAGCCAAGCCACGGGCCTCTCAGACAAGTAGGACTCCACTTCTATTCATTCAGTTTCTCGGATTAGGCTGAAAATGAATAATACTGTTTGTGTAATTGTTGTTTTGGAGACAAATATGGAGTAAAATGAACAGAAATGACTGCCAAAAAACTTTAAGATAGACAGGTGATACTTTCATTCACTTCGGTAATTCAAATTAGTCGTTGCAGGCAAAGTGAGATATTGCAAGCCTTCTTTGTTATAATGTTGATAATTGACTCACCGCTTGAAAAAACAAAATAAAAAACAGTTAAAGATATGTATAAAAATATAATTTGAAAATGAAACGTCAAAGCCATTACGATCACCATTACGACAAACAATGGCTTGGCTAGGGATTCCATAGTCATACTTGGATTCACATTTTAAGATGAATTACAGAAATAAATGAACTTTTTAACAATAATCTATTTTAAAAAAAATAGATTTTCACAATTACACTTACACTAGTCTGATGTTTTTCACGTTTCATATTCGCTGCTCATACACGACCTTTGATTAGTGCAATTATGAAACGTCTGAATGCCGTTATCAACATTATACGAGTTCTTTTTGTCAATATCGCCCACGCATTACATGAGGCGTACTCCGTGTGTGGGTGGATTTGGTTGTGGATGAGACAAATGGAACCCGATTAGATCCACAGGAAGTAAACAGTGTCATAGGTCGACACATATAGATGCTCGTGTGGTTTTATGTGTGGTGTAAAGGCAGATTTGATGTTCAATGGTTTTCCTTTGTTTCTAAATGATAAAAAAGTACATGCTTTGTGAATGGACTGCTGAGTTAAGAATAGAGATTATATATTTCCACTCATCTGTTTCTCGATGTTGTGCTTCCACTGTACAGTACATTCGGCCTCTGTTGTGGTTTTACTTCCTGGTCAAGTTATATATTTTTATTATCACCTTTGAAGAATTTATTTTTAAAGTATTGGTCTACACACATGTAAAGCGTAGCAGCCAATGTATGTATTTTTATTGTGGTAAAGTACCTCCCGGGAGAATTTGGACACCTCTCTATCAGCTGTGGTTTATGTTTATGTGAACAGAGGAACAGATGCAGGAAACACTGGGGTAGTCTTGCACAGTTTTTCCAATGTGGTTTTACTGCAAATGGCAAATAAATGAATCTGAATCTGAATCTGAATCTGAACACACGGGACTAGGACTGATTAGAGCTGTATATACTAGAGAAGAGTTTATGGACTTATTTTGTTGACTCCATTACATTTTAGTCGCTATTGGACGCTTGTTTATTGTCAACATAGACTGGAATGGAAGCATGGAAGCTAACAGTTTGAATTAGCATGCTAACACGAGCTAAGGTTTGCCGCCTCCTTACATGATCATTAAAACAATTGTTTATCAGTTTTGTTTTGTTTTTTTCTCCATCAGCTGTTGGTTAAGTGTTACATTACAACAAACACAATCTGCGGCTTATATTCAAGTGCGGCCTATATGTGGACATTTAACAACTTACAATGTGAAACTAAATATGAGGTAGACTTATCACATAAAAGTGACTTATGCCGAGCCTTTGTTTTAATGTTGATGATTTTGGCTTACAGTCCATTTTTTAGATATTACCTTTTCGAAGATGTTTTATTTGAGGTTTTTACAAGCTGTGAACCAATTTTAACACATAAAGGTTTGTTTTATCTCACTTTCCATTGAATGACAGAAGCAAATGGACTTTTGAACGACATTCTAATTTTTAATGTTACACCTGTATATGTATTTTCATGAGCATTTGAATTGTTTACCCAGTTTGTTTATCTAAATAAGAATCACTAACGCTCATTATAAGTTCTCACTGTCACAACATGGAGCTTCTGCAGGTTACATATCACACCGAGTTATTCTCCCACTCTTTCAACCACAGCCGTGTCCTCCCTTTGCCCGGGACACACACACACCCAGAGCTCACAGCTGACTGGAGATGGCAGCGCTTGGTATTTCATTATTGTGTGTTAGAACTGCAGGAGCACGAAGCAAATAATACGTGAGAGAAAGAGAGCGGGGGACTGAAAAGAGCAGAGAAAGCAGACAACAGAGGCAGAGATACTGTATATGTAGAACTATAGGGCTTTGTGTTAACTGTAGGGTTATAGTACCTTGTGTTATGGCAGCAACTCAATATACTCCATATATAGTCCCATGTAAACACAATTATAGTTTAAATTGATTTGCTTAGAAGAAAGATTTTGCTGGAATTCTGCCTGTGTCTGTTTAGTGTAGGAACTATTACCCAGGTGCTCTCGAGGTCGGGGATCAGGCTTAAAATGGATTTATTTGTATATTTCTAGTCCTAGATATAGTTCTGTAGGCTTTGCACATATTTTGCAGCAAGGTTTTTTCAAGATCACATCATTTCTGCAGTCTGTTTCGTCACATACTTTATACTGTAACTTTCAATGTCACAGAAACCCAGAATACAATAAGATACAAACTAAATAAGATCAGTTAAATATTCTACATGTTGCTGCAATCAATTCAAGGCGAAAAGAAAAAAGGAGTCGTCTGTGTCTGAGAGATAAAAATGATTGCATAATAGCCATAGCTGCACACATATATTCAAAATACTTACTTGCTGTTCACATGTAGAAGTAAAATCCAGTAAAATATACACAATAAACATTGGGGTAATAAAAATCATATGACTTTTTATGAAAGTACAAGCCTACAGCGTTAGAACCGTTCACAATCTGGTTTCCATATATCCACAGAGCTTGAATAATAATGAAACCAAAAAATCTTTTCACCGTGTTTTGTCTGGAATGTTCAGCTAAACTGACATTTCCATAAAGACAAACTTAGAATCTAAATCCTGCAAATGATGAGATTGGAATAACAATAACAGCTTCATGAAAAAAACAGTAAAAACGTTTTTGTTTTTTTAATCCATGGTCCATTTGTTTCACGTTGGTTCAGACCTGTGTGGGTCCTGGCACATTAGGTTTTTATTCATGCAGAATAATATGGAATTAATCAAAAAGCCTTATAATTAAGAATTGATTGATATTATTAAGAAAGGGGCAGGAGATTTAAGAATGTGTCTTCTTTCAGCTTTTCAATTATGTGGCAGAATTGCAATTGTCTTTTGAAATATAATTATAATATGCCGTGTGATGTCATTTTACAGTCCATACTTTATAGATAAATACATGAATAAATACATAATGATAATAAAGAAACAAATGAATAATACAAACAATAAAAAAAGATAATAACTAAGTAAGGTTGATTTGGAGCATATGCGTGTATAGATGCCGTCCACATGGCAGAGGAGGCAGCTGCTGTGATTGGCCGGGGCAGATGGGCGATCAGCGAGCGCTCCGTAGCAGGATCAGACACAAACAGGCAGAGACAGGGAGAGTGGATGTCCTTGTCCTCATCTCCCCCGGCTTCTGCGCGGAAATAAAATATCTATCTTCACCACGTATCTGCAGGCTCTCACAGATGCACGCTGGAGTTTCTGAAATGGTGAGGAGAGGAAACAGGGGAATATAAAACACAGCTCATTCCAACACACGTGTTATTAAATGTTCTCCTGCATTTGAGGCGACATTGCTCATTACATTGTTTACATCGTTTGCTGATTTTCTCGTCTTAATACAGAAAGGATTCAGTTTTTTGACACAGATGGGGCAAAAACATCTGTATAGTGGATTATAAGTCTCATTATATATTATTATGAAGTATTATTGATATTGATTTCGGAAAATATTGCCATAAATGATCCTGCAACTCACGTATTTGAATATCATGGTTCTTTTTTTTTTTTTTTTTACCTTTTTGACACATTTATTTTGGGCCAGAATGTTCACTGTCTCACTTGTTCTGCTCTTACACCTTGGCCACTCTTGACACTGGAATAACAAATGGTGGCTTGTTTGTTGTGTGTTTTATTTATTTAAAAAAACACAAAAATTGCCTTATAGTTTTATTTTGGTATATGTTGTATCCATAGACTGTATATATATTAATGGACAGAGTCACGCCTATCTCCACCATTCTAACTAATGGGCCAAAAAATATGCTCTACTGGAGCTATCCAAAATGGCCGCAAGTGGTCCCGCCCACAAGAAAATTGCAAAAAACGCATCTGCGCATGCGTCAGCCGGCGCAACTCCATTCATTTGAACGAGAGACTTCAAAAATTCACAGCAAGTAAACTAGAGTGGTCCAAAAAAGTTCAGCCCCCTCAACATTGACACACATGTGGAACGGAGCTTTGGGCCAAGAGCCAACTTTTGGTCCATCCTGTAAAGACGTTTTTGAGAGGTCTGCCAATGCTATATGTTAGCATTGGCTAATTCTACTTCTGGGTCCACCCCCATCGGCCCGGGGTGGTATTGCAAGCATGTCAGCGCACGTCATTTTGGCCACTTTTGAGCTGAGACCCTCCCCCACTGGTTGTTGATTGTAGGAAAGTGTAGTCCAAAGGTTCACTGAACTCCATTCATACTGTTGTACTGTAATACAATGTGTATTTAATTGTGTCAACCATATTGTGTGTGACTTATGTTCAAAACCCCAAAGTGAATAAGAAATGACTAAACTAATCTTTCAAGGAGAAATGTTTGGGTAAAATACAGTTGTGTGAAAAGTAAAGCAAACCCTTGTGTTTCCTGTTGCAGGTGTGTCTGTGGGAGTGCAGCAGATCCATCCTTCATGGACTCAAAGACAGTACGGGTATGTGACAAATGAACTCCCTCTGTGTCCCCTGGCTCCTGGTTTAGGCTTTTCCATAGTTCAGGTCTTGTTTTAGATTAACAATTTTAATGACCAAATATAATTGATGAATTATAACAAACCAGATTAGCATCAATGCAACTATTTTCACTTTTGCAGATGGCTTAGTCGATCCATTTGATGTGATCTTTCCTCAATATTGGTTCAGCCAAAGTAGGGTTTAATCCCGGGATACGGGATTCCCGGGAAATCTGATCAAAACTATTTCCCGATTGCCGTTAAATGTTATGACGGGAAACGGGAAATGAAAGTTAAAAAAAAAAAATTCAGTGCGCTCCTATTATAGAGCACGTTTATTGTTGTTCAAAGTTAAAACATATTTCATTTACAATCAACATATCTACAGCTGAGAGGATGGATCATAAATTGTGTTTTTGACAACAAATATGGGTCTTAATCGCGCTAAACCACGACTTGTAATGAGGCCAGCCTCAGGGTACGGGGCACATGTGAGCCCAGAATTTGGCTACGTCCAATTCTATCAGAAAGCTCCTTTCTTTTTTCCATCTGCTAAGGGCAGCAACAGGTTTGGCTAACATACATATAACACATTTTAAGATCATATAAAATGCATTTAGGGTAATTTTCTGCTTCCAATGACGATAGGAATGATAAGGAAGAGAGGAGAAGGGTAAGAAGGTTGATATTACAAATTGGATGCGCCCGAGAGCCGGCTGCAGCGAAAACACAGAGGAGTTTATGGAGGTGGCACCCGTTTTGTTTTACGCTTTAAAACTCTTTGGGCTTATTTCCAAATGGGGGATTACATATCTGCGCTCAAACTATTATCTGGACTTAAACATGAAACTGGTCTGAACTGAAGTGGTCTGTGCTGTTCATTAATAACTAAGGTAAGACCCATAACACAATTGGAAATGTGCCTTTTACGAACGTTTGCGTTTTGTTTGAGCAAACAATGCGGGCCATGGAAAACATTCTGCTGTAGCCAAACTAATTGTGAATAAGCCGCTCTGTAGGTTCTGTTGATTTATATGATATATGTTCATCTGACAGGGCTGAAGTCAGTGCCTCCAAACCACACGTCACTGGTCGACAAGTGGATTGCGCAGACATTTAGAATCTCATAATAGTGAAATTCCTGAAGAAAGCCCATCAACAAAACGTCTGAAAACGCTATGGCTACTTTAGCAAAGCTAGCAAGTCGCTTGGTGAAACACTAGTGGAGATGGCAGCTTTTGTTGGATTATATATTTGAGTGATATCATACATTACTTGGGCTAAAAACAACAACTACAAACAACAGCTATTTCCCGGGATTTCCCGGGAAAGGCGTCGTCTTTTCCCGGGATTTGATACGTCTCATTTTCGGGAAAAATATTAAACCCTAATCCACAGTACAGGGCTCTGACCTTGTTTGAGTTTCTATTTATCTGTGTGTCTATAGGTTATGTGTAAGTAAACAAAGTATTTCTCCTTAGTTTAGTCCCAATTAGGTCTCTCCTTGTGGTGACAGAGCCTCCAGTCCTGGTCCAGCCCTGGTCCAATCCTGGTCAAGTCCTGGTCCAGCCCTGGTCCAGCCCTGGTCCAGTCCTGGCTGTGCTTGTTGTCTGTTAATTGACTAACATTTCTCCATTTGATTTGTCTTGGTCTTTCTGCTCTGCTGCACCAACATTACATTTTCACTCATGAATAAATCGTCTGAGGCAGCCAGCCATTTAGTCACTAAAGCCTCTCTGTCACTCAAGCAGATACAGAGACACATATGAGGAGCTCTTTTCTCACAAAGTCCTTTTTTATTAATATTACTTAGAGCGACGTTCAATATTGCATCCTGCATGACACAGTGAAGAGCCTGGAAGTTAAGATGTCTGACATTCATAAAAACACATCGAAGGTGCAGTCGTTCATAAATCTGTTTGTGGATTATTGTTTCACTGTGTAACGAGGTAAACATTTCAGGGTTTGAAGTCATTCTTTCAAGTTACTACATTAAAGGTGATATCTGTCCTTTCAATTGTATTATTATTTCTTTTTTTAAAGTAGTATAAATCAAATGCATGTTTTTGACCGCATTCCCCTGTAGTAACAGTTCAAAAACCATACTTTTATTATAGTCACTCTCTTTAGCAGCACCACCAGTAGGATTTGCTGGAGGAGAATAGATAAACCAATTGCATGGCCCCCATCTTGTATCAAGCATTTAAATGAGTTCTGTCCAATCAGGAAGCAGTCGGGGTGACGACTGGAGCTTGCGTTGTAAAAAAACAAACAAAAATCCCTCTCCACATTTCAAAAAGTAACTTGTGATGTGAATGTCAGTGATGCAATGGGCTGACACTGCAGCACATCTGCTCTAAATGAACTGTAGAGCCACAGAAGCTGCGAGTGTGGAGTAAGCAAATCATGCTAATGTCATTGTTATTGTTTCTCATGTCGTCTGATGAGCTGTAACCAGGGCCCGACCGCTGTGAACTACAGTTAGACAAAAGCACTAACACTGTAGTCTTGTTGTGAGAAAGCAAAAGCCTTTTTGTTATTCATTTAATCTTATTTTAATTTGATACTTTCATTTGAGCAGAAATTGTGACACTTTACATTAATTACATTCATTTGTTAAAAGAGATTCCATTCAATGTTTTTCCTCACCCACACACACACACACACACACACACACACACACACACTACAGATGCATACATACATACATACATACATGCATGCATACATACATACATACATATATACATACGTATACACATATACATATACATACATACACATATACATACATCCATACACATATACATACACATATACATACATATACACATATACATATACATACATACACATACATACATAAACATATACATACACATATACATACATATACACATATACATATACATACATACACATACATATTCATACATGCATACATACATACATACACATGCATATACATACATACACACACATATTCATACGTACATACATACATACAGTACATACATACACACACATGTGCTCGGGGGATTCTCGCGGTACTGCAGACTAGACCAGACTAAATTCACATGGGCTATCCCGAAACTTTCCCCATAGAACTCAATGCATATTAAAACAGCTCGACCTCAGCTGACAGAGAACCTACAGCTTTAATAAAGGTCGGATTTTGTGGGGATATTTGTGTCCCTTGTCATCCTGAACTTTTTATCTTCTTTAATCCTTCGGTTTTCTTTAAATCCAAACTTTAGTGCCACAAACTCTGCTCGTCTGGCTAGCGCTCTATCTTCCGCTCTGATGAACTGCTCTGATTGGTCAGAGTGCGGCCGAGCCCCTCTGTGCACGTGCGTGACAGCCACACACGCGTGTTTGGCGCATCGCATCATGGGAGATCATCCACTGCGCAGAACCGGGAGGACCAGACGATGCCCAAATACAGGCGAGTTCCCATGAGTCTTTGCGAGTTCCAGGCGACTTCCGCTAATCTTTCAGCTCACGTGCCGGCACAATGCGTCACTGAGCAAAAACCATTCTTTTAAATACGGTGCCATCTTGGATCGCCGGGGCTTGGTGGAAACCTTTAATGTTTTCAAACTAACTGGAAATCAAACTGAAATCCCTCCTGATGCAGCTCAGGATACACGAGTTCCAGACGATAAAAATCATTGTTGATCTGCCGTCCATTTCAGTACGGGAACCAATAGAAGACGGATAGAAGTATAGACCGTATTTTTCCGTAAAATTTATGGCAGTTCACAAGGTGAGGCTGCAGCTCGAGGCGGCTGTGTGGATTCATAAAGACTTAGAGCCCATTTTCAGACACTGAAAGGACAATCATATCAGAGCGTGTTCACTCGGTTCTCACAGACAAACACTCAGTACACTGCCCATTATTCAGCACATCCTCCTCATAATGACCCAGACCGTCTCGTTTCACTGTCGTCTGTTCTGTCACACACACACACACACACACACACACACTGTCAAACAAACGCGTGGGAGGAGAAGATGAGCAAGTCCTATTGTATTTCCTGATGTTTTATTCTTTTAGCCTGCAGCGGTTGTGTAATTGATAGTGCATTCATTTTAAATCTATGCAAAATTTACACACATAGCACAGTTGAATTGGTGGAACTGGACTTGTATAATAATAATAATAACACATTTTATTTTAGGCACCTTTCTAGACTGTTAAGGTCACCTCACATAACAAGAAAAAAGTACATTTAAAAACAGTTAAAACACAAAGTCAAAAGCAGCATGAACAGAGGAGGGTGTAGTTATTGTTTAAGTGAAAAGTATAACACATTTATTGATATGTACGAATTCAGATGATCATTCCAATTATTCTGTACTGAGGAATGTGTGGCTCTTTTCTGACTGCCTCTTTATGGATGGTTCGGAACAGGACTACAGCTGGACTTAAAGTGAAGAGAGAGAGACGTTTTTCGAATGCCCCTGCAGGTGTCTGATTGGAGAAAATGAATTCAAATTCTTGATAGACAGCTCCAGGCCCTCAGCGTTGCCCAGAAAATCTTACTGGTGATGGTTATGTCAAGGGGAATGACTATATACTGTAGACATCACTCGGTCTGGACCAGGTCTGAGCAGGACTGAATATTAACGTCTTATTAAACGAGCACGAGGTCTGTGCAAAAAGAGCAAGGTCTGATATTTCTCTGTTCAGACCGAGCAAGCGAGGTCAATAAATGTTTTATTATTTGACAATTTTTAATTTATGCAAATATCGATCGGTTTCAACACTAGCAAAAACAGATGCAACCAAACTGTCAAATCGTGACATGGAGAAGAATCTCTTCTGTGTCTTTACCAATGCTTTTTAGATATTTGTGAAGTATGTTCATGTCCGACTTGGTTTTCCTAATCGTGTTTTTAGCTTTCTGGTCTGTAACAAAGTTGTCAATCTCTTCTTGACTGTGAGGAGTTGTGTTTTCGTCGTTATTTTCTGTTATTAC